TGCTACGGTGGAATGGATGTGGGCGGTGGTGCAATGGTTCTCGGAGGAATTGCAACTCCTGATGACATGGTGTTTACCCATTCCGACACTGCTCGAAGGTACGTGTAGGAAAATTCTTGCAGTATTGCAATGGACTGTTAGGCTTCTTTTCCTAACACGTACCCTTGATACATCTCACACATTTACTCTAGTTTCGGGGTGGCAACAGCCCTTATTACAATATCGACCTGAAGGAGATACATGTTGCTGGGAAGATGCTGCCTCTTAATCCCAAGGTGTTTGACGGCAAACATGGAACTGTTCTTGATAGTGGTACAACTTATGCTTATCTACCTGAGCAGGCATTTGGAGCATTTAAAGAAGCCGTAAGTATATTCATTTTTTGATTATCGGATACCTTTTTTTTTTAATCATGTGTTTCTGTGCTGAATTTCTCTGTTTTTGGCGTGCAGATCTTCAAGGAACTCAACTCCCTCAAAAGAATACAAGGTCCTGACCCTAATTACAATGATTTATGCTTCTCTGGTGCTGGAAGGTAATACGATTGTCATTATAGAATTTGTCTACATAGTAAAAGTTTGCAGTCAGTATTTTTGTGTAATTAAGTTCATATTTTGCTTCAGTGATACTTCACAACTCTCGAACGCCTTTCCATCGGTTGAAATGGTATTTGGCAACGGACAGAAGATATTGTTGTCTCCAGAAAATTACTTGTTCAGAGTAAGTATCTTTACTTTATGTTGTTGAAAAGCCCTGCCTTCAAATCATGTAGTTATTTGTTGCACCATGAAAAGTTCAATTCGTATACATAGCTAGAATTGTCCTTTTGTTTATTTATGCTGCCCCTGAGATTGAATTATGTGTCCCTTTGTTGATCACCATTTTGCTATATTCTCATGTACAGCACTCAAAGGTGCGTGGTTCATACTGCCTTGGGATTTTTCAGAATGGAAAGGATCCGACCACTCTTTTAGGGGGTACTTTTTATTTATTTAATTACTTATTATTATTTTTTATCTCAGCTTAATGTTTATCATTGAATGATTGTATCTTCTGATCGTTTTTCTTTTTGACAGGTATTGTTGTTCGGAATACTCTTGTTACATATGATCGGGAACATGAAAAGATTGGTTTTTGGAAAACCAATTGTTCTCAGTTATGGGAGAGACTTCACTTGTCCCCTGCCCCTCCACCATTGCCTTCAGGCACCGATAAGGATAACTCAACCTTGGATATATCTCCTGCGTTAGCTCCTAGCGAGTCACCGCCTGCACCTGCGCCAAAATCTTCAGGTATATCATGTTACTGTTTTCCATCTTCTGCCGTCTCACCTGAATTTATTAGTTGATGAATCGTTTTTTGAAGAAATATGGCTTAACAAGTTTGTTTGACATTATGGTGAAATCTTAATTTTGCAATGCCTATTTTATGTGATGGGTGGTAAGCTTTTTCACTCAAGAACAATGCCTATGACTATGGATTTAAATTCTTGAAGTTGCTGAGTCAATGAGGAAGTACCTGCTGAGTTAGTAAGGATAGAAGATTATGAGAACCCACGATGATTTTCTTATATGACTAAGATCATAGATAATGTCCATTGAAAACTGTAACTGATGGAATTAAATGGAGAATCTCTTATTGCGTTAACTAAGTTTTGACAGAAGGGAATGTTTAAATAAGGCCATGCAGGTTTTTCTTATTTTCAACCAGCAGAGTTTCTTTGTCCAATGCCAATTTCTTTGTTCTCTGGCCCACAATACCATGATGCTCGTTCCTTGTCTTTGTGTAATGATATATCTGAAAACTGCACTTTTTGCCTTTTCAATCTCAAGATATTATGATGATTACACAATCAGTAGATATAACGAAGGACCAAGCTCTGATTGATTAGTTGGGATTGTTTGTTTCTGAAGAATTAAGACTGCGTATTCCTTTCTTGCCGGTTATTTGGTTTAATAGTTTGCTATCTCCTAGATCCTTGACTGGACATATGGTTTACTGTCAAGAAAGGTCTGTAGCGGAATCGGGTACATCACTTCTGTCTCAATTCGAGAGAGATGAGTTGTTCGTAACAGCATCCCATGCCAAAAGTTTGGACATTTCGGTTATGACTCTTATACTTTGTAGGCGAGTGGTGTTCAAAATCTTATAACTGCCAGGTCATTTAGAAAAATAAATAGTTACTAAATCTACTGATTATAGCTAGGAACTGGATTATCAACTTTTCTGTATCACATTCTTCTTCACTATTTTACTTCAAATTCTATGTGGATTGATCAATGTTTACTGATGATTCTAATAACGTGATGAATGAGCAGAATATTTGATGAAGTTTTTGGTCTTTTGCAGGGGAGGCTAAAATAGGTCTCATAACATTCTTTATGTTGTTGAACGTGACGTACCCAGAGTTGAAACCTCACATGTCAGAACTTGCTCTGTTCATGGCCAAGGAATTAGATGTTAATTCTTCTCAGGTAAATCAATATAAATTGTTGATCCTTTAGGATTGAATGTGGAACGTAATATCTAAGTTTAATTTTATTTTTTTTCTAGTGAAATCTGAATATATGTTAGTCAAGTTTCTCACTTTTTGATATCAACTGTCGCAGGTTCGTTTGATGAATTTCACTTCTGGAGAGAATGATACCCTCATAAAATGGGCCATTTTCCCAGAAGAACCTGCTGATTATATTTCTAATGCTACGGCCATGGTAAAAAAATTGTTACAACGACAACACTTTCTTTTCTGTATACTGATAGATACTGAGGGGCTCATACGCTTTTTACTTAAACATTTTTTTAATTGTTTTTTTTACAGGATATTGTATCCAGGTTGAGTGAAAATCGTGTTCATCTCCCTGATAGCTTTGGAAGTTACAAATTCTTTGGATGGAATATGGGGCCGACACCACCACAACGGTAAAATAAAATACCTAGTTTCTTATGTAGATCGCTCCCATTAAATTTATTTCACTAGAAATATCAAGCTCAAGAAATTGGAATAGGGAAAATTAATTGATCTACCTGATCAACAAAGCTTAACGTTAGAATTTTCTTTAAATTTGGAAGACATTCTTAGAAAATCATATGAACAAACAAAAATATTTTGTATACTCCTAAGTAAATATTTGATCTTGTTGCAATATTCCAGGACATGGTGGCGACAACATTACATGGCAGTAATCATAGCATTTGTAATTACGATGGTAATTGGATTGTTGGCATCTGGGGCATGGTATATTTGGAGGAGAGATAAATCGCTCGTTTCTTACAAGCCCGTTGATTCTGTTGTAGCCGAGCAAGAACTGCAGCCATTACAGAACTGATCACAAGTTTGGCCTTTGGTTTGGTTTACTATCTCAAAACTTATGACTTAACTTGTTCGTCTGATTTATGTTGCTGTCATAAGCAATAGATTCGTTTTTACTACGATGAAATGGTAGATTAGAAATGTGAGGAGGAGGTGGCGTGCCTTCTTGATGACGAGCATTGCCCGATATATTATATTATATTATATTTTGTCCATTTCTCTGTGAATAGCAGAATCTCATCTCAGCAAAAAAAAAAGAAACACGAACGCCATGAAGATTAATTTCTTATTTTTATATTTTTCACATTATGTATTCTTATTTGCGATTGAGAATTGTAAGAATAGACGAAGAATTAATGTGACGGGTTTTTCCTCGGAAATCGAGACATCTTATTTGTTATTGCTATTACAATTCTTGCGCATACAGACAATGCACTCGAACTACGTACATCTCTGACAAGGAGGGATGCATTCACTCTGATTTTTTTTTTTTGGGAAAAATACAGTTTCCGCCCCTCACATCAGCACCGATTTCATATTTGGTCCGTCATGTTCACAAAAAACACATTTGGTCCCTTATGTTTAAAAAATTCAACACTTCTAGTCATTTCCGTCAATTTTCCGTTAAAACTAACGGAACCAAGCATGTGCCCATCAATGACTTATCTGACAGACTAACGGTAAATTGATGGAAATGACCAAAAGCGTTAAATTATTGAAACATGAGAGACCAAATGTGAAATCGGTGCAAACTTGAGGGATGAAAGCTGTAATTATCTCGATTTTCTTTTCATAAATACTATTGGGGGAAAAAAAGGTTAAAACTTTAATTCATGTTCTAGATCATTATTGTAAGTTATATGTAGGGGCGTAAATGAATCGAGTCGAACCCAATGCATGTTTTATTGTACGAAGGCTTCACCGATTTCATCAATGGCTCTCCATGTAATTGTACTAATTAATTAATTTCTATCTACCAAATCATTTTACTAACTCAACACAATGTATCTGATTCACAACTTCTTTAGAATAGTTTATTTCGTTCCAACTTCCAAAATTGTTATGTAAAATCAAACCTTCTTTTATTCCATTAACAAACATTATAACTCTCTATTTTATGTATTTCAATGTATGACATTATATCAATAAAATAACTTTTTTTTAAAATAAAGGGATGTGATAAATGCCGTTCGAGCTTTAATAATAACGTTACGACTTCAAACGTGATTTTGATCATTTTTAATTCCAAATTTTGCAAAACCCGAAAAAGAGAATTTGTAGTATTCTGAGTTAATTTTCTAATCCAACTTGAATCACCAAAATTGGATGGCGGACGAGAAAGATTTACATGAATCAATGGATATTGCTCACAACCTTTATGTATTGATGTATCTAAAATTCAAAATGTGACTCATTCATGCATAACTTTGTTACACGACATCCAATCTAGCGGATTTAAGTTGGATTAGAAAGCTAACCCAAAGGACAACAGTTTTCGTGTTTCGAATTTTGCCAAAATCAAAATAGAAATATGTCAAAATTAAGTTCGAAGTCAAAACGATATTTAACATCGTGGGAAAATTGAACCACAGGTATAAGTATAACACGCATGCATCTGTCTAGTGGAAAAATTGAATAACTCGAGCTCGAACTAATAGTGACCCCATGCCAAATTATTCGTCGTCTTGACATTTTTCTTAGATGTATATATAATTAATTAAATAATACAATAAATTGCACCCAGAAACCCTAATTTCTCCGCCGCCCAATCACCCCACTCCAATTCGATTCTTCCCAAACTCATCACAACACCACCACCCATTTTTGTATTACCGCGAGGAAGTTCGCCACCCAGTCGCCGCTCGCCGTCGAAGCTTCCGGCGATTACAAGGTAGGTTTTTCTCCTCTAAGTCCTATAGTAGAGAGAGAGAGAATGTGATCGATCAGAAGAAAGAAATGGGGTTTGTGTTCGGAAATTTTGAAAAAAAATTAGGGTTAGATGGATCAATTTTGCTTGGTAAAATTGGAGTTTTCAGAGCATTGTATTGTTCAGTATTTGCCTAGAGCATGTAAATATGAATGAATACAAGCATGTTAGTTATCCTTTCAGAATTCAGAATTTCTCATTTCCAGTAAATTATGATATCGGAATTTTTGGTTGATTGTCTTTGTTAGATCATTCTAAAACGATAATCGCATGCTTTTTTCGTTGTGAATATGATAGATTAGAGCTGCAATATTAATTTAATCATCATATTTATTACCAGAAACCATGAAAGTAGCTACTTTATACCGAATTGCTCGCGCAAACTCCATTCTACCGAACCTAGTTCAACGTCGTTGTTTCCAAGCTGATTTCGTTCCGAGAGATCCCAAATCCAGCCCCAAAAGATACAAATACCCTGCTTTCTACGACCCGTACGGGCCAAGGCCCCCACCCTCGGAAAAGATTCTCCAGCTCGCCGAAAAAATCGCATCTTTGCCATTACAAGAGCGAATGCAGATCGGTCCAGCTCTGAGGGAAAAGGTAATGCATCCCAAGCTGGAACATATTTCCGTTGAAGGAATTGATTTGGGTGCTCCCGGAGGAGCACCTTCTAAGGCGGAGGAGAAGAAAGCCGAGAAAACCACTTTCGACGTCAAGCTGGAGAAATTCGAAGCAGGTGCGAAGCTTAAGGTTATCAAAGAGATTCGGTCCTTCACCGATCTTGGATTGAAGGAAGCTAAAGATTTGGTTGAGAAAGTGCCCGTTTTACTCAAGCAGCAGATCACGAAAGACGAGGCGACTAGCATCATTGAGAAAATCAAAGCTGTTGGAGGAGTTGCAGTGATGGAATGAATACTAGTGCGCTCTGTTACTATTCGATAGGTTGGTTCTTTATGATTTTTTTTTTCTTCTGATTTGATACGTTTATCTATTTTGGGAATGAGGATAATAATTCGTTTTCACACTTCGATTTTTTATGTTCGAAACCTTGAAATCCCGAGATAAATAGATGACCATGTTTGCTGCATTGCTTGCTGAGTCGAGACCTCTCTTTTGTACACACTGTTAATGTATTCAACAAGAATTGAGATTTTCCTGTTGCTCTTATTACAATGCTTCTATAATATAGCATCTATAGTTTCTTCTCTAGTTGATCTTTCGTTGCATATAAGTCAGTTTATTATTAGGGCAAATTACGTCCACCCCCCTGAGATACAGCCAAATTACGAAAAAACCCCTCTTTTTTGGGTAATTACAACCACCCCCTCCTTTTTTAAGTATTTTTACATAAAATTTATGTAATTCGGTTATTTACCGAACCAAATCGTATATTCAGTTCGGTAAACGGTATGAAATGTTGGCGTACCGAAATTTCGGTTCGGTTTTACCGATTATACATCCCTAATTTACTTCTGGAGGGATATTTTTGTAAGATAATACATAGTTGAGCGGCGGCTGTAATTACCCAAACATGAGGGGGTTTTCTTAATTTGACCATAACTCAGGGTGGTGTCGTAATTTTCCCTTATCATTATTATCGTAATTTGATCTCAATTGATCTCTCCTCTCAGTTACATAGCTTCAGTAAGATGAACCCCATCCCAGTTAAAATACTCGTAGGGTTACCATACGAGGTCGAAGAAGGGGACCCACCGCATGCATGGAAATAGTCGAAGTTGTAAGATCCATTTCCATATCCACGGCACACTCCTTAAAGATTCTTTATTCTGTATTTCTTCGCTCTCTTGATCATGTTCAAATAGGGGTTGTAATAATCTGCATAGACTATGGTTAATTTCGGAAGGGTTGTGAGCGTAGCTTTGATTGTTGACTCTGTCGTCTGAAGGAGCTAGATAGAGTGCTAGGCGCCCCGCCCCGTTGGAGGTAGGCCTTGAACAACTGCAACGTGTATATATTCAAAACAATATATTTCATGCATCGGATTATAAGGATGAGAACTTGATGATTCAGTTAAAAGTATTTTTCTCACTTGTGTAAATGTTCTTGGCCTATGATTGTAAGATTAGTGATTCCTGATTTATTAATAAAATTAAACATGTTCATTCAAACTGAAACGATACATATTCAATCGAATATAATCGGTGTTGAATTTATATGAAAAGGAGATACATGACATTTTTCATGAACTTATTTTCACGATAAAAACCCTACATATCTTAAATATGACTAGTCTGACTGGATATGACTATAGAGCCAATCTTAAACATGTTTCCAATATATGATCGGTGGAAATTAGACGGTCGGCGGCAGATGAGAAATACCATTTTTTTGAAGCAGGTGTTGTTTTGAGGACTCTAACTAAATTGCCCAGAGGACTTGTAGCAAAATGCGAAAATATGAATATCCTGATCTGAAAGAGTATTAGCGCCCAGAGGTGTTTAGCAAATCACCTCATTAAATTAATACCCTTATTATTTTTATCTTTAGTCTTTTTTATGTGGATATTTAGATATTTCACCTAAATAAGCTAAAAATTAAAGTTAATATGCAAACACTTACAACTCTTAAATTCCTGAAGTTGATTTTTTTTTTTTTTTTTTAAGAATCTGCAAATTAAACACGACCAACGTTTAAAAATAAACATTTATTTTCGGCTTTTACTTTCAACTTTTACTTATTCAAAAGCTTTTTGCAAACACCATATAATCAATCCACAAGTTTTTAACTTGAGGATACATGTTATCTAAGCTGTTATAACACCTATCACAACTTCTTGTATACCATATTTAGTTCAACTATTGCATTCATCTTATCGCGCACTTCCAATTCATCACGTGCAAAAGAGAAAAAAAAAAAAAAGTCGAAAGCAAAATAAGAAGATAAACGAGACGGAACTTTATATAGATTAGTAAGATGAATCTGAAATCTGAGTTTTATATATACAAATTGAATAGTCTTTAATTAGAATATAAACGTCGACAGCTATTTACAGTGGCGGAGCCAGCATAAATAGAGCCGTAGTTTCTTAAATTCATAGTATTTGCCGCCCCCTACAATTTTTTTGTTTTTTAATTTATATTTGCCTGCCGTACGTGCGGGCATAAAATCCTGACTCCACCACTGCCTATTTGAGTTTATTTTTTAACTAGCAAGGATTTGTTTCCGGTGGATTGAAGAACTCGGGCCCAATGTGGGCCCTACAGACAGGGCAATTAGGGTTCTTAGACAGCCACGTGTCGGCGCATCCTAGATGAAAGCCATGGTTGCAACCTGGAATCAACCTAGCCGGTTGCTCGCTCTCGATTTTGTCCAAACAAATCGCACAATCACTCGCAAACACCAAATCTTTACCTGTCACTTTCGGCAGCTTCTCCAGATCGAGGGCCGAAACCCCCGTGTTGTGGCGGCGGCGGTTCATCCACAACGTGTTCACCAGCTGGCGGTTAAAATTGCTGTCCGCTGCGAACCAAAAGATGTACAATAGAATTACTGCTGTTCCGATGACGAGTATTCCGACGAATAAAGGCAGATCATAAAGTAAAAACTCTCCCAAATCGTCCTGCATATTGTTTTTTTTTAATCTTTTATTTTTTTATTTGTCTTTGGTGTTCAAGGAAATCAAGAATAAAGTTAGAAAACTGAATTTAAATAACATACCGATAACCAAAGTACCAAACCAAGTGTAACTAGGAAACCATCTTTCACCGGGAAACTAATAAACCTAATTATGGAAAGCAACTAATAACATAATTAATACATTAATTAAGCAAATAATTAACGTAACTAAGGAATTGTCTATGCTAAAAACAAGCCATGCACCAGCCATGTATATTTCGTCGATTCGTCTCCGTCGTCAATAATCTTATGTAAATTATATATCTTTTTTTTAGGAGGTGTTTGCAAAAGCTTATTAAAAGCAAAAGTTATTGACTGTGAGTTAAGTTCAGATTAAGTATTTATTTCTAAAAGTCGCGAGTTTTTTCAGATTAGCTGGAAAAATTAACTAAAATAGAAAAAGCAGGTACGTACATGGGTGCTTTTAAAATTATAATTTGAAGCAACTTACTTTAAGAGAAGCAAAAGGAAAAACTTGATTTGTAAACACTTAAAAACAGACTGTGTGCAGAAAAAAGCTTATAATCCATTTCTAAAAGCTTTTGCAAACACCACCTTAATATTACAATATAAAATAAAATGGGTAAAACTTATCTCTTTCAAATAAATTCTACATATACTTAATTTTGAATTTTGTTTATCAATACTCTTAGAAAAATCGGGGCGATCCCCCAAAATGTTAAGTGCACAATATGTTATTAGAATGATTTGGATTAATTAGAATTTTTTTTGCATGCTTGATATTTTATTTGGCATAACGAATTGAGTCGAACCAAATGCATGTTTCAAATATATTTAAATATATTTATACTTATATAATTAATGGGGGGAGAGTAAAAGTAGGAGGCTCTAGCATTTGGCCTCATAGTAAATCTATTTTTAACAAAGAGATGTATGCATGCATGTAGCTATCTCTTGCATGAAATATATATATTTTTTCTTTAATTTGTTTGATTATATATTTAAATTAAACATTATTATTGGGGCATGCATGAATTCCCAAGAATGTTTTTTTAGTGATTATTATTTATGATTATTATCTGGGCTGCTTGATTTTGTTCCATTCTAAAATAAATACATATTCATGGCCACTCAGGGCATTCAAGAACATCCTCATCGTTCTACGTATTAATTATTTATTAAATACTTTAATAATCCTTTATTCATATTTATTTATTTGTTTTTTTTTATTCTCACATGAATTTGAAATTAGAGGATAATAATTTTTTTTTTTATTCGCGGAGAATTGGTATCGGTATCGAACATCGTTTTTTTTTTGCAGGAAAAACGGGGACAGTATTTTGGCGACATACCAAAAGCGAGCATTTTCATTTCCTTGCTCTTCTTCTGCTCAAGGTAACCAACCTCACAAGGGAGTTTCGGAACTATTTCTAGGAAATGATTTTCAACTTTTAATATTAATTAGTTTAATATTTTCAAATAAATCATTTTTGTCTACTTCATTGCAAAATTCAAGAAGAAAACCTATTTTAGAAGTTTTAATGATTTTATTTTGGATATATCATATTCTGGTTTACGTTATTAATTAAGTTATTATAATTAACGGTTACATGTTTTGAACTATTTTTTCGTGAATAAGTCACATTTATGTCGCTGCCCGGAACCCTGTAAAAATTTCATTATCAAACCGTCTAACTTTAATATGTCCACTATTTACCCTTTTTTTCCTTTTTGCATTGTAGACTTGAGATATTTCAATACGGGGAAAAAAGAAACAACACACGGTATTGCTACTACCACGAGAGACGTTGACGAAAAGGGAGAATCGAGTTGTAACAAAAATAAAACGTCCGGGTGGCAAAAATATTTCAAATTGTTGAAAAAGAGTTCAATAAAGAGATTACCATCAAATTTACCTTCAATAGTTGTGCCTAAAATATCAAAAAGGCATAGTAGAAGTAGTAGAGATCAAAATGTGGATATAGACAGGTGCCTCATCACTTCTACCTGGAAAACTTTTACCCTTGCTCAATTGCAATCTGCAACCAACAACTTTAGCAAAGGTAATTATCGATTTTTTTTTTTTTTTTTTTTTTTGCTAATATAAAATATTTTGGGTAAATTTAATTAGTGTGCTCTAATTACCACTGCCGTTGACAGTCGGTCTCCGATGTTGACTTTTTTTCCTTTTTATTGACTTGTCGCACATTAATATTATCAGCTTTAATATCTCAATGAGTTAATTGAACTCTACCTACTAAATGAGATACTTATGAAAGAGATTAATATTTTGATTATTGCATTAGAGAATCTGATCGGGAAGGGCGGGTACGCGGAGGTTTACAAAGGTTGTCTGAGCAACGGACAATCGGTGGCGGTGAAGCGGCTCAACAAGGGAGTGGGGGAGGACGAGGTTGTCAATTTCTTGACGGAGATCGGAATAATAGCGCATGTTAACCATCCCAACACCGCAAAAATGATCGGTTTTGGGGTCGAAGGAGGCTCTTTTCTCATTCTTCAATTATCATCATTAGGGAGCTTGGGTTCACTCCTTCAAGGTATGTTTTCGTTTTATGGATAAATTTGTCTTTTTTCATTTTTAATCACTATCTACAAAATTAATCGCAGTGAGTAGGACAACTACTAATGTTATTGGTTGTGAACTTTAACTTTAACATAAATTAATTTGAATCTTGTATATACAGCAAGCATTTCCTCGTACAGTTACCTATATTGGATTAAATTGTATTAAATGAGATCGGATTAATTCTTTACTGTTAATTAGTTAATTATTTAATTATTAAGATGTTTGGTTCCTTAGATATTTGTTAAATTCTGGTATTATACGTGAATTATCTATAAAATCTCTTATTTAACAAAGTTAAGCTACTGCTCTAATGTTTAATTTCGAGCTTCAACTTTTGTAGCAAACTTAGTAAGTATGAATCTTGTCAATAAAAAATCTTATTAGCTCCTATTTATTCGGTAAATAGAACTTAATAATGATAACCGAACGAGGTTTTAGTCAACTGAAATGAATAGTGTCAACCGAACGAGACGGATTCATTGAATTGAAATTAATAAAATTATTATCTGCTAATTATTTATGCAGGTTCAAAGGAAAAACTAGATTGGAGTAAGAGATATAAGATAATCGTTGGTACAGCACAAGGCCTACTTTATTTGCACGAACATTGCGAAAGACGAATTATTCATCGAGATATTAAAGCTGATAATATCCTTTTATCCGAAGATTTCGAGCCTCAGGTACCTGCATTTTATTTTTCAATCTTTCGAAAATAATGTTCAAATGTTATATAGATGTTAATTCTTTATTTAATTTAGCCTTTGTTCGGTCGGTTGCGTGTTGGGATGTAGGTCGGAATGGAGTTTTCGAATTCCTTTAATTCTGATTCGAAAATATCCGAATTTGGGACCGTATTTTTTCATTCCAATTTCCGAAGTTCTGATTTCCGATTATTCCGAATTTATTTGGAACGAAATCGAAATGGTATATAAAATTACCGGAAATTCTGATTTTCGATCCAATTTAGTTTTGAATATTTCTATGGCTTTTCGAAATATATAATATAATTTTATGATATATTTTTTGTAATTCCATAATATAAAATTACTCGTGTTATATTTTGTATGAAAAATATATAAAACATAGGGTCAAGTAATATTAATTGGTATCAGATGTTGCATTTTTTCTTTTAAGAAAATTTATGTTTCAATTTGTTGTTCCTACGTGTGTTTTTATTTATTGCGTTTTGTCAAACTCTTTTTTGGATTTCTTGCATTTTCGAGCGAAATTTTGAAACAAATAGAAAAACATTGTTGAAAATTCACATTATATCCAGATTTGGAACAAGAGATTATAAACTAATGTAATTTACAAAATTTCCAAAAATTCGCCGATTTTGAGACATTCCGAAATCGGAATGAAATTTTGCATTCCGATTTTTTGGAACGAAAATTGGACCCCATTTTTTACTTCCGAAAAAATTAAAAAAATTCCAAAAAAATAATTTTCTATCAACTTCCGTCCGATTTCCACCCCTAGTTGCATGAGTCAAAATTAATTTAATATGGACTGATTGACTTGTACTAACTCCATAATATGGGGATACAGTTATCTTTGTTCTTTTTAGATACTATCTATAAAAAAATATTCAATAGTAGCATGAATTTTGCTAACCCAATATGTTATTATGTGTCACTATTTAGTCGGTATATCTTAATAGTAAAAATCGATCGATTTCTTATTCTTTCGGGTAGACTAAAATGAGATTTTTATAGAATACTACGAAACATTATATCATTTTTTAATGTAAAGTAATTATTCATTTGGGTTATTGCACGAGTGCAGAGTTTATCCAATGCACATATATTGTTGCATATTTTTTTGTTAAAAAAATAAAATAATTTCCTCTTAATAAGACCACAACTTAGTTATTTATTGCTTGGTATATATTTGTGACTTGTTTTGCAAATGTCAAATAGATCTGTGATTTCGGGCTCTCGAAATGGTTACCGAAACAATGGTCCCATCACAACGCCACAAAGTTTGAAGGCACATTCGGGTACGTATTGTTCTTCAACTTAAATCGATCATTGTCCACTTACGTTCAATTGGTGTTAGGTTACGCTTATAAGTTGTTAAAAACAATTTACAGAATGTTTTAGAGCTTATAAGTTCTTCCAAAGCGTTTGGTAAAACACTTAAAAAATTATATAAAAAAAAAAAAAAAAACTGTTTGAGAGCTTTTAAATTTTTTTTTTTTGAAGTACCTCCCCTACCTTTATATTCAAGTTCTAATAATTAATAAAAATAACTTATAAGTTCAGTATTCAAATAATAATCAGACGTAAAAGGTTATCAGATATTTTGCCTCAAAAGGGCACAACATATATATACTGAATACACGATGTACACTTCACCGAATGTAACATATATTTGGTTTAATTGTGAATAGATACTTTGCTCCAGAGTACTTTATGCATGGAATTGTGGATGAAAAAACAGACATATAATTGTGGATGAAAAAACAGACATATTCTCTTTTGGAGTTCTACTTCTTGAGATTATAACTGGACGCCAAGCATTAGATGAATCGAAGAAAAGCCTTGTGCTTTGGGTAAGTGTTTGCAAAGTGATTTCGAGCTTTTTGTTTTTGGCTTAGAATCACTTATGAAGTGTTTGCAGTTCCAACTTTTGTTTCTACTTTACTTAAAATAAGTTGTTTTAAGATGAAATAAGAAAAACAACTTCTCTTAAAATAAATTGCTTAAAGGTTGATTTTCTGTGATTTTGCAAACACCCCAAACTTTTAAACATAATCACTTATTACTAACTTAAATCATAATCACCGACTTCTATTTTTTTTTAAAGCTTTTGCAAACACCACCTAAATGCATTTTTGATTTAATGAAGGGCAATTTAAATATTTTATAACTTTTCTTAAGGTAAATACTAATTTGAGGATATAAATGTAATCTAGGCATACTTGAAAGGGATTATTTGTAAATTAATCTTTATTTATTTTCTTTATTTATAATTTTGTTATGTAGGCAAAGCCTTTAATTGATAATAATGCAACTATGGAACTTGTGGACCCTTCTTTGGAGAATAACTATGATCCAAAAGAGATGGCTCGGGTTATCTCAACTGCCGGTTCATGTATCCAGCAAAATCCGGTTCTTAGACCGAGAATGAGTCAGGCAAGTATAAAATTATGTTTCTATATATTGCTGGAATCAAGAAATTAAATTCAATATATGTAGAGCATGTTCGGCTAAGCTTATAAGTTGTTAATTAAAAAATATCTTATAAAATATTTAAGAGCTTATAAGCTAGTAATAGTTTATAAGATGCAGAGAAAAATAAAACACGAGGTTTTTTTTTTTAACACAAGAACGATTTATGTCGTTCTTTTAAACTCGAAATTTCACACTTTATATGTGAAATACAAGCATATAATATTTTGTCTTTCAAAAAAAATATATATAATATTTTGAAACTTTTTTTTTAGGTTATGACACTGCTGAATGGTATTGATGGAAAGCCAAAGTCGACGGATGGAAGTCGAAAGCAATTCCTTAAGCGGACATATTCGGAAGAACTTTCGTATGTAGAGGAGTACAACTCAACAAAGTATTTAATCCAAACAAAAAATAATAATTAACATCAAATCTAAATCTTAAGTACGATTAGAGTAGCACCTAGACTGTATAGAGTTCAATGGAAAAAAGAAAGAAAAATAAAAACCCTCTTATAGTAATTTTGTTTAACATTGGTTTTAATTTGTGAAATTGAGATTTTTTATATAAATTCTGCACTTTGTATGAAATGATATTTTAGTTTTTAGGCCCTTATAATATGGCTAGAAATCTAACAAGAATCGAGTGACTAAAACATACGTACGTTTAATATGCTTAGTTGGTAAAAAAGGATCACTCGTAGAATCAGTTCAGTTCAGTTCGCATTCGCTTATTTTTTTTTTCTTTTTTTTTTTTGGTCCCGAGATAAAATCAGACTCCTCTCGGAAGCTAGATGCATCGTCGTCAGTAGAGAAGTTCATTTAATCTACATAATCCTCACCAACGGAAATCAAACGGTTGACAAGTACAACATCCTCTCTAATTTATTATAGGATGCCGAAAATTGAATTTAAAATGAAAGCAAAATTCAGTATGTTTGTAATAGGGAAATGTCATTCATGATCGATATAAATCCCGAAATGTTTGGAAGAGATCTCGTAAATTCTCAGCCATTGTCGTCTCCACTACTACAAAATTTGATTTTCTAGTGTTAATTGTAATTTTCTTCATCATTTCCATAGTCAACTATATTTTTTTTGTAAGTTTTTAATTTCTTTAGCGGTTAGCCATGTTATATGGCATTTTGCTACAATTTTTCAGTATTAACTACAAAAAAAATCGTGGTCTACTATAATTTATTCATTAGTTTCAATTTATCGTTTCCCTTTGTTCATTCTCCAATCACAAAAAAAAAAAAAAAAAAAAAAAAAAAAAACCAAAAAAAAAATAAATAAATAAATAAATTCCCAATATACAACAATATCAAACATTTATACAAATTTTGATTTTTTTTGTATTGTAGTACACTACAAATGTTTGAAACTAACACAAGGTAAAAGAAATGTTGAAGGTGCAATAAAGAAATCTTCCAACATGGGGCTAGGGTTTTGGGCGCCTATTCAAAGGAAATATTCCTGTATTTTGTAAGGTGCAACGACTTTCCCTATTTGCTAGGGTTTGTGCGATGCGGCCTGAAAATCATCAAAACACGAATTTATCAAAATTTGTGCATAACTCAGGTTAATAATATCTACCGCAGACGCTTGATTTTTTTGATTTGTGAAGCTTTCTTAGATCGAATTGTTACACCATTTTTTGTATTAATCCACAAAAATCACTGAAATACTATTCACCCTAAGTAGAAACTTCTGTTATTCAATTTCAAGACAAATCTATGGACAAATTTTGAGTTTTAGACTATTTTACCCTATTTAATTATAAAAGTAAAAGAATCATTATTTAAATTTATAAATTCTACAACACCAAATTTAATAAATTTAAATATAAAAGTAAAATTTAGGAATTTTATTCATATTAATAAAGTAAAGCAATGATAAATGAGTGGAATTGGATTAAAAGTTAAAATTAAAAAAAAAAATGATACGTGTTTACTAAAAATCTTTCTGTATTTATATTTCAGTTTCTGAATTTACCTTCTATTTAATTATGTTTGTATTTAAAAAAAAAAAAAAAAGCAAAAAAAACAAATTGTGAAAAAAAAAAAAAAAAAAATTACTCATAATTCCAGTCTTGCTCTGAATAAACTTTGAAGTAAGAATCATTACTCAAGAGAGAGAAAGAAGAGAGAGATAGAGAGAGAAAGTAAGTAATCTTCCTCACATATCGCACAAACACTCCCCCAACTTCTTATGTTCTGACATCGTTGGTTAGGTTAGGTTAGATCAGGTGTAATCGGAGGGTTTTTGCAATTAGCCGGAGATGTACAGTGGTTCCAGTGACGGCGAGGCGTCGGCGCAGAGGAGAATTCCGGCGGCGTCTTCCATGCTCTGGGTTCGCAATCTCCGCCGCTTCATCGGATCCGGTGCCGGCCTCGGATCCGAAGCCCTCACCGGTACGTAATTACTGCTGACGTGTCCTTTTTTGCACTGGCGATTCTCAATTTGAACCTATCGCCGACTGAGAATTTGGTGAATTTTTTGTACTTTGCTCCATTCAGAACTGGAGACCAAACGCATTTTGCTCGATATTTTTAAGGAGAAGCAACAAAAGAGCGCCGAAGCTGGCTCCATTCCAAGCTTCTACAAGAAGGTATATTTCGAAAATTAGGCTGTAATTTTTTTTTTTCTATTGAGCACTTGTGTTTTCTGATTCTCTCTTATTTTTCAGAAACCTGAAGAAGGTTCCATTAGTCATAGAGTTCAAAGGTTGGCCAAGTATCGATTTCTCAAGGTATGTTGATGTGTTTCGTAGATCTGCCTGGCCGGGTTTGGGTCGGTCATTCGGTTTTTTTTTCCAGTTCACTGTCATTTGCCTTTTGCAGTTCATGATTAAAAGCTAGAAGTTCAGCTTATAAGCTGTCACGATTTGCCTGAATTGATGTGTGATTAACGATGATGGTTTTGTCTAATCAGAAACAATCAGATCTTCTGTTGAATGCCGATGACCTGGATGCTATGTGGGTTTGCCTGAGGGAAAATTGTGTAATTGATGATGCAACTGGTGCTGAAAAGGTAGTGGGGCTTGTTCACCTACGTTACCTTTTAACTAACTTATAAAGGAATGCAACTCTTATAATACAATTTACCTGCCTTGTTCTTCTAATACAATTTATGATATTTGCTCAGATCAAGTGCTTACTCTTCTTTTTGCTCGTTAACAATAACTATTATGAGTGACGAATAAAATACTTTCTTATCCTTCTATTTCCAACATTAATGAAGATAAAATTTATTAATATTTGGAGTAATTTAAGTTCTAATGGGCTATTGATGGCATTAATTTCTTGGAAAATCTTACTGCCCATGCTCTCTGGTTTTTTTCGAAGTTAGAAGTATACACGTTTGATAATAGGACCATTTGATCTTCTTGAATGAACAAAAGAAGTGTTTTTTCTTGCTGTGAGTTGGGGAAGTTTTCCATATTTTCTTAGTTCTTTCCATCCAGATGCTTTGTTGGATTGCACTGTGTAAGATATGAATATAGTCCATAAAAGTCAGTTCTGGTATGCAGTAGGGTAAAGAATATTAGATACTGCAGAACTTTAGTTCTACAACCACCAGTTGCCTGAGATATCTATCCAACATACATCCTTATAACTCTCTAATATGAAATGCACCTAGTGTAGAATATGTCTCAGTTTGCAAATTGTGACATGAGTTTTCTCTTATCAGATAATTTCATATTCCACATTCTCTTTCTCTAATAAATTTCATTAAATGGCAAAAGAAACCGGACAGTGAAGAACTTTAATCAGACAATTTTTCAAATGACTCATGGCTAACATATCTATTCAATATGCATAATCACAACTTCCAAATTAGGAGATGCACTTGGGACAAAATTTCCCATGGCTTTCAATTTGTCAAATACCTGTCTGTTACACTTAGTGTTGCACACAATTCCATATTCTCATTCTGTACAACTTCATCAAATGCAACTTAATTGCGGGAATAAATGTATTACTGGCATCCTATTTGCTGCGATCTCTAATTCCATTTTTCCGTAAACTGTGGGTTCTGTAATAGTGTTTTTCCTTTCCCTTTTCCGTTCTATCTTTGAATTTATAAGTTGTTCGATTGTCTTTGAAACTATCACTTTGTAAGCTCACAACATCAAACAATTTAAGGCTTGTGCAATTGGTTGAGTGCAACTATACTGAGATGAACGTCATTTGTAAATTGTGCAGATGAATTATGAAGACTTCTGCCACATTGCCTCAGTATGTACAGAACAAATAGGCCTCAAATGTCGACGTTTTTTCAGTCCCTCAAATTTCATGAAGTTTGAGAAAGATGAATCCGGAAGAATTTCCATCCTGCCTTTCTATCTATATGTGATGCGGACGGTAAAAGTTGCTGCCCTTTAATACTCACAGAAAATTCACCAGTACCCATTCCCCCGTTCACTTTTCATTATAAGTTTAATATGATGGTTTGTCTTTTAAAGTTTCGTACTGCAGTTTTATTTTTCTAGGGATGTGGCTATGATTTGAAAGATTGAGTAGGGCTTGAAAATAAAATACACCTATAAATGAACTTTCTTTTCAATACGTCACAACTGAACCTCCTAACACAACCCTCAAACCAATTGCATGTAAGCAACCAATTATAATCTATATGTAAGCAAATAAATAATCCATTTCGAAGGATACACATTTTGACAAGATACTGGAGTTCACAAAACAAAATTGGTAGCAAATTAAAGCACCCATAAACTGTACAATCATATCCTGCTAAGAACCACTAACATTGCTATTTGGAAATGTCCGACACTTCACTTGTCAGTCGCATCCATACTATCACAATTTACTTTATAGGTAGTAGCTGATACGATGAATGTCTTTCAGTTGAAAGTTCACTTCAGAAGTAGATTGGTCAATAATTGCAGTATCTAAATAAAAAAAAAGTGATATGCCATTTTAAAGTTGCTTGAAAGTAAGGATTCTCTGTGCTTCTTCAGTATTACTTACTACTTCATTATGATCCAGGTTTCACTTACTCAAGCGAGAATTGATATGAGTGAGCTTGATGAGGATTCTGATGGCTTCCTTCAACCTCATGTATGTTAATTGTACTTCTGAGGCTAATCCCACAAAATAAGTTCAACATTAGATATAAAGATGCTTGATGATGTTGTCCTCATTTGTGCTAATATAATTTCCCTTTTCTCTTCTTTGAAACAGGAAATGGAATTATATATAAAAGGTCTTATTCCTAATTTGGCTCAACTAAGGGACATGCCTGCCGCTTTTGAGCAGATGTATTGTCGCATAGCTGCACACAAGTTCTTTTTCTTTTGTGATCCACATAAACGAGGTTGGCATTCAATTGTAGTTATTAGGCTTGCCACTGAATTATTGCCATTTTGTTTACAGTTCAGCATATAAAAACTAATTGTTAATAACAGGGAAGGCATGCATAAAGAAAGTTCTGCTTAGTAATTGTCTTCAGGAGCTAATGGAACTGCACCAGGTAAACTTTCGGTATTATTTACCTGAAATAGTCGAATGGTAGCATTTCCTTTCCATTTAAGTTTTGGAATATTATTCTGATTTATGTTTCATGTACACTAGGAAAATGAGGAAGAAGCTACCGATACTGAACAAGCTGAAAATTGGTTCTCGTTAACATCTGCTCAACGCATATGTGGTCAGTGCTTTAACATAGGTTTTGGAATATGCATATTTCACTCACTTCATTGATATTGCATATACAAGATCTATTTATATTAACTAAATTCCTTTTCAACCCTGAGTGTTCAACTCATTTTGTTCTTTTCATAGGATTTTAACAAAGAATTTCCGGCATATAATGGGCATTTTAGTATTATCCTATTTGTTTGTACAAAAAAACAAATATCCATCCCCCGAGTTCTCTTTAATAATAGAAATCATCCCTATTTCTGGTTGATTTAATATGAAACTCAAATTGCAATTGATTTTATTGAACACATTAATTTAAATTTGAGAAGTAATAATTCAAAATTAAAGTTATATCGAAGAGAAGTATGTGGTTTCTTTATATAATTAGTTGTTTGATGCACTCGTGTCAGTATGTAATGAACTATGTGGTTTTTTCATCAATATATTTTTTTCAAACTAGGTTCTGTTTCAGATAAGCATATAATAACGGAATGATAATGTGTAAATTGTTTATAGAAATGATCAGATGACATTGTGATACATAGATATTTTATTCAGTCAGCTTCACAAAAAAATTCAGAGCTTTTCTTCTTGTTCATCCAGAATGATCTGACCCTCAAACAAACGTCAAGGGTAGTTTTTTGTAAATTGACCTACTTTTAATTTATGTATTTAATTCTATTTTGGCTGTGTGATTCTGAAGGTGAGCATACAGTTCTGATGCCTGTGTATTGTTTGTTTTTCGTGATTTCTGAATGCCATCATACTTTGGCTTGACTAGCTTATAGCTGCTGAAATGGTTATTTACAGATATGTTCCTTGCTCTGGATAAAGATATGAATGGAACGCTTAGCAAACAGGAGCTTCGAGATTACGCAGATGGGACTTTGACGGATATTTTCATTGAGAGAGGTAGAAACTAACTGTAGTCCCCTCTCTCTCTCTCACACACTGCATGTGTGTTTGTATGTATACATATATGGAAAGTATTATACTGTATATCATCTTACTAAAGTATTTGTAACGCTGCATGAAGGGACGGTCGAGTTTTCCTCGTATACCATTTTCAGAACACTCTTCTGTCTGAAAGTATGCTTACCGGTATCAAGTATTACAATAAATGATAGTGCTTTTAAGAAGTTTCTATTTTAGGAAATGAAGCCTTATTTTGTGAAATCTCGAAAGATAATAGAAGTCATAAATCCCGGATGTAGAAATCATGTAAGTTAAAGGCCTCTGATATAACTATGGGAAACTGTCTTATACTTAATACTGTCAATTTGTTTGTTAATATTAAGTTTGTCTTGTTTTGTGAGCTCAAATACCTCTCATGCTACAAATGTTGACAAATAAGATTGCAAATGTTGATAATCGAGGTGAAAAGTAGTTTATCAAGTGTGATGCACTATCCTGTTACTTGCCATATGCCTAGACCCCATGTGCACTAAATGTTGTATTCCTTCCGATTTTTATCTGTTAATTTTTGTCCTCGTCTTTACAGTGTTTGATGAGCATGTCCGGCGTGGAAAAATTGGAGGTGGTAATGCTCGGGAAATGGATTTCGAGAGCTTTCTTGATTTTGTTCTAGCTCTAGAGAACAAAGATACTCCTGAAGGATTGACGTATTTGTTTAGGTGTCTTGATCTTAACGGAAGGGGATTCCTCACAACTGCTGATATTCATTCCCTATTCAGGTTTGGGCCAAAAAAAGTATTCGTTTCACTTACTAATATAATTGTGTTTTGAGTAATTTTTATTTTTCTGTTCCTGTATCTACTATATTAAAATTAAGAGTTTATTGCATTCAGTACCCCTGTGTTATATCGAATTGCTAAAAAACCCCTGGTATAAATATTAGCCAAACCCCCAATATGATGCATTTTTTAGCACACAACTTCCTAAATGGAGGGTTTTTAGGGGGTAATTTGCTTAAAAAATTGCATCCTATGGGAATTTTTGCTAATATTTATAGCATGGGGGTGCTGAATGCAATAAACCGTAAAATTAATATGGAAGTAAAGAAGGGAAACATCAAGAGCATTGATTGTTTCCTGATGAATCTTCCAACAAAAAGCTGCTGCAATTTCCTGCTTGTAGTTCTTGAGCAAGATCTCTACAAGTCTCATTTTGCAAGATACATGCATTCATACATATCGAAGTTTTAATCATTTATTGGAATCTGTATAAATTGATAACTGAAAACTGAAAATTCATAATTTTCCCAATGATAAAAAAAAACAGGGATGTTCATCAGAAATGGATAGAGGGTGGAAACTACGAGCTTTGCATCGAGGATGTAAGGGATGAAATATGGGATATGGTGAAGCCATCGGATCCGTTGAGTATAGCACTGGCTGATCTTCTGGCATGCAAACAGGGCGGCACAGTTGCAAGCATGCTTATAGATGTACGTGGTTTTTGGGCACACGATAACCGAGAGAACCTTCTCCAGGAGGAGGAAGAGCCTGAAGAGGAACAATAATAGCTTTCTTGATCTTTTCGACAGAGATAAAAAACTGTGTTAGCAAAATGTGTAGTTGTTTCTTTCACTCAATTTGTTCTGTTTAATTGAAAAAAAATATCATACTAGCTTGATATTATTCTAACCACTAATGTTGAGAAATACTGTATGTATAGGGCCATGTATTTAATGTGTAACCTAAATTACCATATATGTTGTTGCAGTTGTGAGAGTAGATTGAAATTACCAAAATTTTATTATTCGAGTATAGAATTGCCGTCTTCTGTTACTTCGTATTGGCTAGTGAGACGGCATGGATTTTGTTTGTAAATGCTTCGTAACCCGTAGTATTTATATACTTCCTACCAATTTTTATATACTATTTATATTGTGAAAATACTATTGTTAGATTTTTTATAAAATTAAATAGTCAATGGACTCGATCAGATCAAACATTTCCATCGGTCTTCAAAGGCGAAGCCCTCAACAAATTAGGGTCAAATTCGTCCGCTCCCATCATCACAAATAATGCCTATATTTACTCGGAGAAAACTGTGGTTGCTAAAACTCAAAATTTCTGGCAGAGATGCATTAAAGGTGCCCTTCGATTCGTTTGGATGAGACACTCTTGAGATGGAGAAATATCTAGATCGAAGCCGATCAAATAGTATAACTTAAACATCCCGAGTAATGTGTAATTTTTAGACTTGAGTCGATCGAATTTTACTCCAACTGTTCTTTTTTTGGGATTTGCCTTATAACATACACGCACATAACTGGGATTGAACCAAGAACCTCCCACTATAAGAATGAGAAAAGTACCACTCGACCAAAAACGCTCAACATTTTGATCTCTCCTAAATATAAGGGAGTACATTTGCGCACATGTAAGGAGAAACACAACCCGGTGCCTGGGGGGGGAAAGAAAAAAAAAAAGAGAGAACAAATCGAATTTAGCTTATAGAGTTTAGACAAAAAAATCACTGCACTTGTACGAGCGATTTCAGAAGAAGAAGAAGAAGAAGAACATCGATTGTGTACCTGAAGTAAAGAAGTAGGGATTTGAATAAAGCCCTGAAGTAACAGGTTTACATCTTCTAGAATCTGCACTGGAACGGGAGTTATGACATAGAGTACCCCTTTTGAGGCGTCTACTGCTCTCACAATACCTGAGGAGAAGAAAGGGAAATATTTTGAACCAAAACAAAATAACCAAAAAACGAAAAAGTAAATTATCAAACAAGAGTCCTGTTGTACTTCAATAAAGAGAAAAAAAACACTAGAAAAGATTCGGTGAACTAACCCAAGCCAACACAAGTAGGCAATTTCTCAGACGCTGAACTAACCGCCAGCCCAACAATAGTTGCATTCAAACTTCGATAAATTTCGTTCACCGGAACCTACCATAAATATATTCTACTGTCAAAAACACTTAATAATTTGTATATAATATGTACTCCAGTGAGGAAAAAAACAGGTGAGAACAAACACACACACACACACACACACACACACACACACACACACACACACACACACACACATATATATATATATATATATATATATATATATATATATATATATATATATATATGTCCCGGGCTAACCTTGTGGTAAAGGTGCTTAATTTTGACACTCGACACATCAACTCCATAAGGTGGGAGAGCACATAATGCAATAGCAAGTTCTTTAATTGTGGACATATTCCTATCACTCGGAAAACATTGCTTGAAATATGCCATCATACGCATATCTCGTAAAAGGCCCGAGTCCTTTTGTACCAGCATCCTAAAACAGAAACCAAACTTCAAAGATTTAGTTGAACCTTACAAAATTCTAGATATTAGAGCTTTTTTAATTTTTTTTAAAGAATAGTTCACATAATGAAAAAGCGTACGATCTCTTTAAATGATCCTGAAGAGCAGCATTGATCTCCATAACAGACACATCATCATCATAATTCCCCTCATTTAACCAAAAAGTTCCGGAAGGTAAGTTCTTGCTTTCGACGGATATACGAATATTGACCACATGGGTAGGAGATATATAATTTAGCATGTCGACCAATAGTTCATAACCAATACCTGGAGATTATAATAATATAGCATGTTATTGCTGTATAGTACAAGTAGCAAAATGTATTACAATGTTTTAACTTAACAAAGAGAAGCAAAAACAATGAACAAACCTTTTACCCAGCCAGGGGTATTTATGACAAGTGGCAACGAACAATCTCTGGAGAAACCTTTCGATCTATTACCGGACTCTGATCCAAAGAAAAAACACAAATCAGCAACAAAATAACCTAATCTATGTCCATCTGTCCTCATACACACACAAAACAAATAAAAACTGCACAAAATGAAAATTAGCGTACTCCAAAATAAAGTAGGGCAAATTACGGCCACCCCCTTGAGGTATGGCCAAATTACGAAAAGACCCCTCTTGTTTGGGTAATTACAGCCACCCACCTCCTTATAAATATTTTTACATAAAATTTATGTAATTCGGTTATTTACCGAACCAAATCGTATATTTAGTTCGGTAAACGGTATGAAATGTTGGCGTACTGAAATTTCGGTTCGGTTTAACCGAATAAACATCCCTAAATTTACCTCTGGAGGGGTCTTTTTGTAAGATAATACATAGTTGAGGGGGTGGCTATAATTACCCAAACAGGAGGGGGGTTTTCGTAATTTGACCATAACTCAGGGGGTTGGCTGTAATTTGCCCTAATAAAGTATTAAAAAAAATGTTTGAAGTATCACCTGTCCTGTTACCCGTGCGGTATTCTTTCAGATAGTGGTCGTACAGAGCCGATATATAAGACAAATAGGCTGATGGGTCCCTCTTTGAGGAGATGTCACCAAAGAAATAACACCTGAACATAAGGTAAATTTTTAGATTTGAGTATCATTTGTAAATTTGACGGGTACATTAAGTTTACATAGATAAAGCAATGACCACAGAATGAGATATTTAGTACATGTGAACTGTATAAAATGACTATGTGAGGTTCGAGCAGCCAAAGGCCAAAATCATGAAAAGATTGGAATATATTTGAAAATGTTGTTTAAAGATCACACTTCACACATTGCTAGGCCTGTAAATCAGGCTATGTGGGTCGATGCGAAAGTCAACCCAAAAAATATCGAATTTCAGGCTCCCGCCAAATGCGTACTTATGAGATCACTGTCCAAGCTGAACTGATGAAATATTACAAGCTCCTAGTTGAGTTAGACAAAAGCTGAATTGATGAAATATTACAAACTCTTAGTAGAGTCGGACAAGCCCAAACAACATTGTTTTTTTTATGTTTCATAAATCCTTATGCATTTTCAAAAAAAAAAATCAAAATTTGAATATACAAGTCATACCACTTTGAGATATGTCACTAATTTACAGAATATGATTCAACAGTTCAACTATAGAAATACGAGAAAAGCAAATGTTATCTTCATAGCATATCAATAGTACAACTCAATAAAGCATATCAAGGTAATAGTGCAAATCTAACTTATTAAACTTATCACACTAAATTACAAAATCCAAATATGCAGCAAAAAAGGAAAAGACAAACAGGACAAAGAAAAATTAATCAAAATGAACAAAAGATTTCATACCTCTCGGGTGTTTTCAAGCATGGAAGAGTTAGGTCTACATATAAAAAAAAATGAAAATAGTTATAAGAAATACGACACAAAAATAACAAAGAACAACCTTATTAGAATGGTCAAAACAGCAAAAAAAATGTATGTACCTGGTGTTATTTTATCGATCACAGTAAGTGATAGAAGACCAGGAGGAGTAAACTCTGTTTGCCCAACATCAGTGTCAAGGTAAGCCACTTTTTTGTGCCTGAAACGACGAGCTCGGATTTATGAGTTATGTGTTATGTGCTCCTTTTGAAGAAAACGTGTGTTACGTAATAGATATAATAGAGTTGTACAAAAGCCTTAACCGCAAAGTTTCGCCTCGTCATTTTATCAAACTACAATTCTTATTCCATCTGAAAAAAGGGCGAAAATCTCCAATTTTCCAGATTAAACACCTAGCAAAGCACATGGACAAACACATGTTTTAACATATAAACACTAGTAGGTTATCTGCATATATATATGTATGAATAAACATGTATCTCTGTATCTTTTTTTATTGTGTATTTATGAAAGTTCGGTAAAACTAAACTTACAATCCCTATAATACATTTTCACTACTGATCTGATCAGTTTTCTTCTTTAAACCATTCCTGGTTGATTTGATCATATGGTTAGCTAATACAATTATACATATAACAATCACACACACACTAACATACACACACCAAATACAACACTAAATTCAAGTTCGAATTTTGATGAGGATCACACATCCAACTGTAAGTAAATTTTGCCTAAATGCAATTACTCTTCGGAAACCGCTAGTTTTCCGAGTCAAATTACAACAACAACAGCAAAGCCAAGCCCGAATAATAATCAAACATATAAACATTTCAACATCATTGAATAAATTGAAAGTTGATCATTTTAAAAATAAAAAATAAAAAAAGCAGAAGAAAAAAGAAATTAATAAATTAAATATGGAGAGTACCTCTGGAGAAGAAGATTGAGGAGGTGGCGGGAGAAAGTAGTTTTGCCGCAATTCTTAGGGCCACATACAAAAACAACTGGAAAAGCAACGGAGCCACTGGCTATGGCGTCAACTGCATTTGACCATTCCTCAGGTATATATATTTTTGGTGACGGGCTTTCTGTTGGTTGATTATAGGTTTCGGAAGCTGCCGCTGCCGCTGCCGCCGCCGCCATATTTTCCGATCAGATTTCTTTGTTTTTTACAGTGAGGTTTATCGCAGCGCACCAAGTGTTTGTAAAATTGTAATGTGGGGTTTTAGGGCTAAGAGCAATATTTGGAAGACCATTGGGATTATTTCCATTTTATTTTGTGAAAATAATATATAGTTTAATTTAGATTAAAAAAAGGTTGAAATTTGAAGTAATGTTTTTTTTTTAAGTTTTTGGGAGGGGATAAAAATATATTGTTGCGATTAAATTATATTTAAAAGTGTTGAAAATATTTTAGAAAAAAAATTGAATGTTTTTTCGGTTTTTTTAGTGAATGCATTTTGAAGGAAGTCGAATTATTCCTGAAACGTGAGTTAAACTTTTTGAAATTGTTTTAGGAATTTCATTTTTTTTTTCTTCGGAAAGCAAACTGAAACCAGATAGTATGGTTTGGCCAAATTGTATATCGATCCAAACCTAATTCATTTGTATATATCTTTCACACTTGATATCTAATCGATCTGATTCAAGTTGGATTAGAAAGACAATTTAAATGACTACAAATTTGGTGTTTTGAATTTTGTTATATTCAAGCTGAAAAAATGGTCAAAATAATATTTGAAGCCAAAACGAAGTGCAACTGAACAACATTTAGCATTTCAGTTTGTAATTTAATTTTCTGCATTATTCAATAAAAATCGTTGGTTAAGAAAAAATAAAAGGTTAATTAATTAGAAAGTTAATATTAGGGTAAATTTCAACCGCCTAGAGATATGATCTAACAAAAAAAACCCTTCACTTTCCCATAATTACATCAACCACTCTGCAATTTGTACATTTCTTACATCAACACCCTTTTGTAGGCAGTTAGATGTAAGATATTTACAAACCACAGGGGGCTCGATTTAATTTCTCAACACAAAGGGGATTTTTGGTGATAACACTTTACCTCAGAAAGGTGGTTGTAATCTACCCAATATTATACAACTAAATACAAATTATATGATGTTTTATATTATATAAAGGTCAAAAAAAAAAGGAATCATAATTGTTTTCTTAAACTTCAAATAGGTACTTATCATTAACATAGATTTTAGATTCCATTTAGTTAGTCGTGAGATATGTGAACTCAGGTGAAGCAATGGCAGTCTTCGAAGCCATAGAATTTGCTGGAGACCATCGATTGAGTCAGATTATTGATCGACAGTAATTCGAGCATATTTGTGGCCGATCTATTTACAGGAATATCATCGCTGATATTAAATGGATAAATCGCGGGTTTCGAAAAATTTAATGTTCGTCATTTTAAGAGGGATGGGTTTCAAAGAATTTAACGTTAATCGCATTGCAACCACCGTAAGATAACTAAGTTTTTGAATTTCATAATATGTAAAACCGATACTCTTCCAAACTATGTAGTCTCTAAAGTTCCATCCAAATTTGAGTTCCTCGACTAGAGCGACGCACAATGCTCTACCATGGTCCAATTACCAAGGCTTAACTAGTCTACCAAGTTGAAACAACACATACGAAGTTTCCGAAATTAACATAAATGACGAAAAAAAACGAAAAGAAAAGAAAGAGAAGCATAAAATTTGTATTGTTTCCAAGAACCTGTAATATAACATTGCCTGAACAAGCTGAGCTATCAAATAAAATGTGCTTGAACCCACCTGTCAAATTAAAAATAAAATAAAAAGTTGTGCATAAAATAAAAATAAATGAAATGAAATCTGCAGCATAATGAGTAGTTAACTCACCTTTATATCAGGCTTGACTAAAACTGTCTTTGTAATGCACTTCAACGATAGGTACGATTTACTGGTGCTAGAAATACAACAATACATCCGCTTGCAACTTCGTCGGAGCCAATTACTGAAGACAATTGAGTAGTTATATTAGGAACTTCTTTCACCGTCAATTTAGTTAACTCGAAATAAATTTAAACAGCTTTTTAACTTCATCAATCAATATCATGTTTATTCGAAACATTATAAATATGATTTATTAACCAATATATAAAGCTCATACTAATTACTATATATAAGACTTGTTAAAAAATTGTTTTGAAAGGTAATTATGAAATATAAAATAAAAATAAAGTTGTAAATATATTTAATAACAAGTATTAATCAATAAAGTTGAAAAATTATCCCAATATAAATACATAATAATTTTGGAATACGTCAAATCTAAATTAAACTACAAATTTATATTAGAGGGTAATTACGTCATTTCTTATTAACGAGTACAAGGGGTTAAAGTGATACGAATCGAGAGTATAAAGGGGGCAAAATGACATTCAACGAGAGCAGAAGGGGGTAAAATGAAATTTATCGTAATATTTATAAACAGGCACTCACCGTAGTTGCGAGTCACTGCTGGAATTCCGAATCCAACAGATCCTGTGCTGACTTACTTTTGACCTGGTAGACCATCTTAGCCTGTCTCTCATGCAGTCCAGACAATGAAGAACTCTGCTGCTGCTGCCCACTGTACATTACTGCATTCCCAGATCCACCACCACGCCTATCGATCCATTTAGGAGGCGGTGAGGGAAGTGGGCCCCCCGTGTTCTGACCGGGTTGACCAGAATTTGACGATCTCGAAGATGATACTTGACCAGAATTTGGCCTGCTTCTAAAATTGCCTTCAAGTGTCAAAGCAGACATGCCGTTTCTTAGTTCAGGATACTGTTCCTGATATGTGTATCTATCATTTACAGGGACACCGTAAGTATTATTAGCACCACTGCTTATTGGAGGAGCATGAGGGCTGTATTGTCCATTGACAAAATTTGGGTCATCGTAATATCCTTGTTCGTTATAACCATATCGACCAGCACCTCCTCTTTCATACCCATATTGCCCTCTTTGCCCTCTTTCGTTCCCATATTGCCCTCTTTCATTTACATATTGCCCTCTTTCATTCCCATATTGCCCTCTTTCATTCCCATATTGCCCTCTTTCATAGCCAGTTGGTCCAGCTGGCCGCATCCTATTGGCTAATTGATTTCCCTGGAAATTGCGAGGATTTGTTGTCCGGTCTGACTTGATGTTCAGTGAGTTGTTGACCAGACGGTAAGCAGCTTCTCCCAATACAGAGCCAGATATTGCCCCAGATACTTGTGGTCTATGAAAAACATAAGTTCAAAACAGATCAAAACTTATAGTTTTACTAGTTTAAAGCTCAACTCGGGGATTCTAACTGCTAAATAAAGTCGAATATTTTATTGAACAATGCAGTTGTTTTAAATTATTCACAAGACAATTAGAATGAAAACTATTCATTTGTTATATATTGATATAGTTTCGTTACCTCTCTCTGACTTGCTGGTGCCTTCCACGGTTATCTTCATGCCATAATGCTGGTAATGGTTTTATGTCAATAGGCCTCAAAATCTGGAAATTAAGAAAACCCATTCAGAAATTACACATTTAAATAAAAAACGGCATTCCATCTGGTCTATTTCATCTTCCTCGTTTTCTTGGAACGAAATGAAGCCTCGTGTAATATACCAACGATATAATCTCTAGCCATATATGACCGTAGGAAGTAAACCAGGATAGTTGCATACCTTATTAGGCATCTTTACACCTTCAGGTGGCTTTGGAATGTGAGCATGCGGAGCTGGATTAAGATAAGTGATATTTCTGCGAAATTGGATAAGCAAACTCTATATCTGGTTGAATTTGGTTCAAAAATCTTTGGTTTGCAAAGGCTTTCAATGTAACTTACAGAACTAGATTATTCGTGATGTCTTCGAACCCATTGACTGGGGAAGGGATCACTTGTCTCAAGCTATTTCTTTTAGTCAAAGACATGAATCCATTCATTCCACCACTGAAACAACCAGAAAAATGGAAACAGCTTACATGACATAAAATAGGGATTAATACCAACAGAAAAGAAGACTAGATAACCAACCTTGCAATAGTATCAATAGTCCACGGCAATTTTTCCATTACACAAAGGCGATAATAAATGGTAATTTGGGCTGCCAAATCATGAAGGGGATGAACATACAGCAAATCAGACATGATAGTATTTCGGAATTTCTCTTCCTCCTACAAAACCAGAACACGGACGAAAGAGAAGTATATTAACTAGTTACTCATTTTCCTTTTTTCAGAAATAAACAAATTTGTTGATTGCTCATCAAAGGTATATCAACTTATGTAACTCGATTTTTTATCCGTTTACCATTCTGTTCTGGAAGATTACCACTTAGAATGGGCTCATTGTAAGCTGAGATTAATATTTAAATGTCAAATTATAAATCATTTCTTAAAACCTAATTAACCTATTGGGCATATGAAAAAATTCCAAATTTCGAGATAAGATATGGTCGTAATTTGGTTGGTATGTCTAGAACGCCTTCTATGTAGGAAAGCATATTTTAGCTTATCAGACTTCTCGCATGAATGCGGAGCATCAAACCGTCTCATTCAAATAAACAGATCTTCATGTTTTATACAACATTGTTAGGAATATACACATGCCCATAGAACAACGATGGCACCAAAGACGTGCTACAGATTAGGATAACCCAGGAAGCGAAATTGTGTGACATGTGTACAAATCACGAAGGAGAACCATGCTCAACCATGCTCATCCTTTTCTACGTTGTCCTTTGTAAAGGGACAAAGGACAGACGTTTGATTTACCACAAAGGATTGTTTAGTTTCCATCTTCTGTGAATAAGATCTCCTAGATGCAGGCAGTTTCATGAGGTACAAGGAAGCAAAGATACTAAAATATGCAAATAGGTTGTTTTTGATTTGGCAGGATATGTTTGGGTTGAATCTTTATGAACAACTACTTGATTAATAACAGTTGCATTTACAGTCTCTCTTTGGTGTAAGTCAGTAGTTCCGATAGGAGTCTACCTAAGGGAGATCTAGGGAGATTAGCAAGCATATGTTTGTAAGGAGTTCTTGTTCTCACTGCAAATCTCTTTTTTTTTTTTTACTTAATAAAAGTTCATTTTGAATAACATGAAAATAGAAGAATAAGAAAACTCATCATCTTTCATACCGTCAAGGTATTCTCAATCTTCTTTGTCTCGCCAAGCAGTTTATTCTCATCAATGAATGGCAATTTGGCGATACCCTATTGCACATGAAAGATATGGTGCTTTTCACTGGTCAAGTTATTTAAACACTATGGATCATGCAATGAAATAATAATCATAAGACATGGGAGATACCTGCCAAGCAAAGCGCTTTCCGTTCATGTCAATTTCAAAATCTGGTCACATAAGAGAACGAAATTACGTTTAGAAATAAAATATAAAGAAATATAAGCAAGCTCCAGCAAACAATTGACAATACCAGTTGGGTAGAAATTATAAATAGGTGATGCAGGATCAGTCATCAATTGCTTGTATCTTTCGGGAAGAGCAGTAGAACTATAAAATGGAAACAACATATAAGAAAATAACATCAAATACACAAAATATTCAGAGGCAACTCTCAACAGTTTTTCAGACAAGAGGAAGAGTGAAAAACCTTGCAGCTGGTAGGGTTCCTAATAGCTGATCGAAGGGTTTAAATGGCTTTCCAGGGAAAAAGGTTATCTCCAAATCAGCTAAGCCTTTAAGATCAGATGCAAATGGAGCATAATGATATGGATAGTACCTGGAGAAATGCATAACATGATCTGCGTTACATGATTATCGAATTATTTACTGAAATAATATTTGAATCATAATACACGGGCCTCACTACATGCAATGGTAAGGAAAATAAAATTATTTTCTTCTATAGAGGAGACATAATACACACCAAAGCCATGAGCAGACACCTTGGTAGTAATAGCGACAAACCCAGCACAGCCCTTCCACATACTTCAAAACCTACAAAAGAATATCAATTATCCTCCCTTATCAGCAGTAGTGAACGATAACAGCAAACAATGAAGCTGAACAGGATGAGCGAGATTTAAAGGGGAGCAAAACATATTTATAATGAAATTCCGAGTAAACTATTGCAATGATGAACAAAAATTTAATGTCAAAAGGAAATTGCAAGTGGTCATTACAAATATGCTTAGATTTTTCTATTTTGAGTTTATATATTTAATTAATTATCAATGGTAAATTCTCTTGCTTTTACATTATTTATCTACTAGGTATAATTTATCAACCTATGTTATTCATGTAGTTTTATTAATTACCATCAGTTAAAAATTAGATAATGGAATTTCGTAATCCCGATGAATTTATTTACTGCATTAATATATATTTTAAAAATAGTTAAAGTTACTTATAAAGTAAGATCAATTAAAAAGATCACTATCTATTATAAATGCAATGACTGTACTTACCACGTCCATTCTGATTTCATCAATCTTCTCTGGTTCTGATACACCAAATTTCTCAGAATAGTACCTCTCCTTATATCCAGGCTCCCCCAACTTCACCTGAGAGAATTAAAAATTGGGAATTGTTTAACATAGAGCCATTACCTACGTACATTTTAACAGAGAGGTCCATATAAAAGGAATTTTTTTTCTGTCATCATCACATAACATGTGACAGTATTCCAAAAAAAAAAAAAGAAATAGAGATTTCATAATCTGAACCTAACAACAATCATAAGAATCTAAGACACTGTCCAAATTTAGATAAACTCGCAGCGAAACTAAGACATGTCAAACTACATGCCGCTATCTGCAGTAAATAAAAGAAACTTTTAAAGTAAACACAGATTTGTGAAAAAATAATTTATTCCCAATCCTCACCTTTGAAGGTGCAATTTGCTGCAGTACAAAGCTTGATATTACAACTCAAAAATGTCTAATCATTTAATATATTTAACACATTGATTTTCAACGATTCTGATACAACAGAAGTTGCATATTGTGGTATTTATTCTGTTAGTGTTTTAAAATACATTTTGGTTAAACTGATTAAATAATATGTAATCCATGACTTTCACAATAACAAGCAATCACGATTCACTACAGTTATAGTTTTACTGACTCAAGTCATGATATGCAATAGAAATGTCAACTTTGAGATAATATTCAGATGAGAGTAGGCACCTTGTCCCCGGCTGAAGGTCGGGGCTCTAGACTAGTCTCTCCTCTTGCTTTCAGTTTCATCTCTTCATTGTTCTCATATGACTGAAAAAATAGAAGGAAAAAAAGGCCACAAAGGCTCTACATATTAAGAGAAGCAATGACAATTGACACCTTTGTGAAGCATTTAATGTGCATATGTAATATTTTACTCATAGAAACATAAGAAAATCTCAGAAAGTACCAAGCAGAATGAAACAAGGGAACATACATCCCAACAGAAAAGTAACAGCCACAATAGATAAACTTTAGTTACTTACAAATCTTTTGACATAACAAACATAAGAGAAAACGTTTCCTCCCACCTTCCAACACTCACGGACCTACAAACCCGCAAAACACACAAAAACCCTTCCATTTCAAATGGCACAAAAAAGGTACGCACGAAAATAGTGGGTTCTAGAAGAGAGCTATCCAATTTGTCAAGTCACCTTGAACAGTTAACCTATACTACACAGGTTTCACTTTATTTCAAAAAAACAGATAGGCCTTAATGTAAGTTTACAGTTCTAAATGTACAGGTAAAACTGCACCTATAGGCTAAATGTACAAATGAAGACACACATTATTGCATGTGGACCAAATCCTCAACATATTCCTACTGAAATAGAGTAACTTTATCTTGCAATATATTAATTATAAGTTTTATCTGACTTGCCACACAAACAAAATAAATAGACTAAAAGTTCAAACATATGCATAGCATTAAATTATACCCTACGGCCCACTCTAGTACCACTGTATTTAGTAGCTTATCAAACAAATAATTATTATAAAAGCTCTTATGGAACAGAGTTATACATCCATCAAATATTCAACAGCAGGAAGTGACAGTGGTTGTAATATCAAGATTCTTTTTCACTTCTGTTATAACACAGACAATATTAACCAGCATGATAAGAGTAAGAATAAATGAACAGCGGACCTGCTGTATGCGAGTTCTCTTTCTAAATATCTGATCTTCATGCACTGCAACTGCCTGAACAAAGTGTTCAACACGCTCCAAGAATACCTGAAATATTGACAGATCTTGAAACTATTTAAACCTAATATTAGAATAATATATGAATAAAAATGTGCAGAGCTATTTTCCTGTATCTATGCAGAATCATTTCTTACTTCGACACCATCATATATCACATTATAAAATGACGAGAAGTTTCATCATAACTACCTCATAATATTGCAAAACTTCATAAAAGAAATATGTAATAATCATTTTCTGAACATATGATTCTACTATCCAAATTATTGACATCAACAAGACAACATAAAGAGAAGTTATTATGGAAAGAACATATAAAATTTTGAAACATAAAAACCTTAGGACTAAATTCTCAAAAATAATGATCTACAAATTTGATTGTCGGACCATCACCATTTCCAAATTCAATTCCCACGAAATCACAGATTTTCCATATTTACTGCGACAACGGCCCCAACTCATTCGTTTTACGTCATATCCCTACATCACCAACCCTAGCACCAAACACAGTTCAAGCAATCCCTAGTCACATAAAACAGAATACTATGATTCATGTAGGAAATCTTAATATGATTTAAGTGAGATCTTTATGTCCAAGAGAGACACTGAGAAGAGCTATTTTCTAATAGAATTAACTTATGTCAAGCATACTCATCAAATTGTGACGATTAAGAGTCAGAACACAAGGATCCGAAGAATACCAATGTTAGCAATAAAGGTAGCAAGAATAGTGATGACCTAAATACCAAGAATATAGGCTGGCTCAGGTCTGTTCATATTTGAAATCAAAACTCTGATCCACCCTCGAAGGAGATTGCATAAATTTTGCATTTCATTATTTAATTGCAGTTTGAGTTCTGATTCAGTCAATCCATAAAGCCTTGATATGTTCACGTGAATGTAAGGAGGTAGATGTAAGGAGTGTAAGCCATGGTGGTGGTTCATTTGGTGCATTCAAGAAATAGAAGTTAAAAAGCAATAATATTAATATATCATAACATCCATCACATGGCCAAGGAGAAGGCCAGTGATAATTGTGATGGAAGCGGCAAATTAGGTGGTGGAGAACAATGGGATGACAAGGAGAGGGTGGCTGAGTTCTCATAGTAGTGGTCAAGCAGTAGGCCAAGGGAAATACAGATGCGATGACGTGACAGTGAAAGACAAAACATGATTAAACAACAATTGGTAATAAGATGGCGACAAGTAAAGAACTAGTTTTTGTAGTCTTATACTGGAACTTTACTTCATTAAGAGGCATGCAGGGCCATGCATATTCTTGACCTAGTAAATAATTCACAGTTTAACCTAAAATCAAAATTACATGTCTCGCTGAGACAAGTTTAACTTGTACAGAAAGGCATTAACTTACCTCACCAGCATCAGTAAGATAACCACCCATTGCAGAAAATTCCCGCCGATATACAGACATGAGCAAATTTATGGCACCCTACAGCATTGAAAAATAAACGGAAACTTAATTAATGTTTCAAAAGACAAAGGGATAAATAAACGTATATATACATGTCAAATAATGACATGACAACATAAGAGCGGATCTGCTTGAAACCGCAATTAATGTCAGTGCATATGTTTTCATAAGGTTGACATCCAGAGAACAGCAAAAAACAAATATTAGATTCAACTGATTCTACAGGCGTATATACCTCTCTAATTTCAAGTGTGGGCATATGAGGAAGAAAGTCATTGCCGACAAAGAAACACAGAAACACAAAGTCATCCACCAGCCTATCGAAGTCAATTTCAAATGGAGGATTGGGAATATCCATCTCATATCCCAAATATTCTCGCAATACCCAAATGTTGAGAAACTGGCAACAAAATATAGAAATATCAGAAGAATAATCAATAACAATTAACAAGGACAGAAGCAAAAGATAACAATGAGATAATGGAGATATGATCTAGAGTTATCCAACCTGATACTTTTTCTTATAAATAGGGATATCATCTAAAAACTTCCCACTTGCATCTTGAATGCGGTCATTTGTTCCACCACGACATTCAGCAGCCAGATGACCGCCTTGACCACAGAGAAAACATTTTTCTTGGTGCCCAGGAGGATTAATTACCTGCACCATCAGAAAATTGGAAAAAGAGCCTTCTACTGAAAACGGAAGCTTAAGATTGGAGTTTTGTGCAGATACAAAAACAACTGACCTCCCTCAGTATTGAGAAATGGACTTCATGTGTAGCTAGTGACAGCATGATCAGGTCTGCATCCTATTTAAAACATATTTGAATTACTGTTTTAGCACATGGTAACTCATGTATACGAGCGATAAGGACACAAGAAAATAACAGTTAGAGACAAGTCAAAAGTCACCAAGAACGACAAACATTTAGACAACATATTTCATTGTTTTTCTCATGCTCACCAGACCATATAGGCAGTGCCTTGTATTTGGATTGAATCCAGGAAGGTTGCGCTGTAAACGAATGTAAGACATGACTTTATGCTCGCCTTCACCAGGAACATTTGCATCAGAAAGAATAACCTTCAAAAAATCACCCAATGCAGCCTCATAAATAATTAAGAGAGACAAAAGTATCCTCAAAACCAGAAATTCAATGGAAAGGCAAAAAACAGAAAGGATCACTCCACAAGACCGATCACCCCTCTTGAGAGACAAAACAGAAATGGAAAATCTAGTATGATGATTTTAAGCTAACCTTTAGAAAGCGCCATCCAGGAATGCTGTTCAACCTACACTGTACATAATACTGAAGGGCTACAGAGAGCACTGCCATAAATGGAGTGCCAGGGGTGATGACATTTGAATCAGATGTTTCAGTCTTTTCTTTGGGCAATAATTTTGCCCCCTCAAGGTCAAACTCTTTCCTCAATCTTTCTTCTTCAGCTTCCTGACACGAGAAAATAGCACATAGGTCTTGAATAACTAATATGGACTATCAAAACTTATAAGGTAACACAACTTGCAAATTGCAATTCTTCCATATATACAGAATACATACAGCTTCTGCAGCATCCTTAGCTGCCCTGAAACGTCGCGATCTTTGCTGGTTCATTTTGGCCCTAGGAGCCACACCATCTGCATAGTAGAAAGAGGACTGATACTAAGTTTGATCCGCAAACCTGTAGAATTATAATAAAGCAGCTTACCAATTGCCATATAAAGGAGCTTTCTCGGACGAACCAATGACACGAGGTGGTCGATGTAATCAAAGATAGATTTAAATACATCATCGTAAGTGGCAGGTGCAGGCTGCATTAAAGAGGGAAAAAAACATTATGTAGTTGCAAAGCCGACAAAATATCGGTGTCACTCAGTAAGTGGGAGGAAGAAGTTTATTTTTTGAAAAAGTGGCCCTCATTTAATTTCATCGTACTCAACAAACAACTCTCATGAGCTTATAAATAAACGACAAATTAATTGTCCAATCGGTCTTGGCATAAAAACTTAAAAAGTCAAAACTAACTAAAAGCAGCTGAAATGTAAAGATTCTCTAAGAAAATACTGTTCTGTACTAAATTGTTTTTGCCGACTTCTACAAGTTCTTTCTAAGCTAAATATAAACCCTGAACATGGAAGCTATCCTAGAGGAAGATATCGAATACAACGAAATCAACTTTTATAATGAGCTAATCTACCGATTCTTGTGAAACGGTAGTCGAAGTCGGGTCCGTAACATAAATATCCGGAATTCAATAGCAAAGGGAAAACACATACTTTCTTATATCAGATTACATTTCAGACAGATATATATATATATATATATATATATATATATATATATATATATATATATATATATATATATATATATATATCGTCTGTAAAATTTAAGCAAACATTTCTGCAACAACACACTTCCTTGTTCAAGTTGTTTCTACTTCAAAAAAAAAAACCACAAAATCCCAGTAATCACCATTGCTACCTAATATAATTGAAGTAACGGAGATACGGAAAAATAAAAAAATAATGTTCAAAACAGGGTTGAATTAATTACCTTGCCTTCGGGGTGGAAACATGGGTGAATAATACCATTCATATCCAAATACAAGTTATCGAACTCAATTCCGTTAGGGTTTGGCCTGGACACATCGACGGGCAGTGGAGCACCGTTGGCGGCGTTTCTAGGTTCTTCCTCCACCACGTCGACGATACACTTAGGGTACCGATCTGCCAGCCACCGGTAAAAAGCGGGAACCCCCATCGCCGGGATATCGGAGTGGGAGATGGTTGGACTTACGCCTCCGGAAGAAAAATGTTACTGTTAGTGATTACTATGTGTGTTTGTGTGTGTGTGTTTACAAGTTATGTTAGTAATTACTGCTCTCTCTAATTTGGAATTCGTTGATCTGAAAAAATACCCACCGATGGTGTTTATGTAAATATATTTACTATATATAAAATATAATATAATATGTCTGTATATATATATATACTATATATATGTGCTTAGAATTCACTAATCTTCTAGAATTAGTAGAGTACGTTCTCGAGAAAAATGAAGTACCATTGAATTTGGAATTTCTGTCACCTACAAATTTTCTCTTTGGGGGATACAAATGTGTTTGAAATTGCATTGAAATGTTTTTGAAATTGTGAAATGAAATAACAAGGGACTTTTTCTTTATAAGGAAATAAATATTTTAATGAAGAATAAAATCGAACTTACGAGCGGTTTGACTTTTCGTAGTCTTTATCGGTTTTTTCTTTTTTACTTGGCAATAACTCGGGGATTTAATTCTCTAGAGTTGATAGATCTCGTGTCAGTAAATTCAATGAATTACCTCTCGATGATAGTGAATCGGATTAGTATTATGTATAACAATATCGGATATGTCAAATCAACCGGTCGAGAGTTTAATAGTATAACGTAGGAAGTTATTTTATCCATAACGAATCCAAATTTTGATTTCGGGTCCAATCGATCCAAAATTCCTTTAATTAATCACTCGTTTCCTCGCCATCAATGATACAACAAGCATTCCAGATAAAGATAATTGCACCAAGACATTTGGAATCAATGATGGGTTCTTCAACCTTTGCATGCTCGGAAAAATCAGCAAGCATCACGCAGGGCAAGGGCGACTATATCATTCATATCCGATCTCCAATCGTGATGATTTCAAAAGTCAACTTAAAGACGTAACATTGTAGAATTTTATGTTTTCTGGGGATCATTGTCAAAATTGGGCATCTGGTTCTAAAGGGGAAAATTGACAAATCTTAGTTTAGTACAAGAGACACGCAAAAAAAAGTCGAACAAAACCACAAAAATTACGTCAAGTGGCAAGAAACCCTAGTTAATTAAGGAAGGAAGAAACAACAGACTACAAAACTCAACCTGCAACTCGGATCAGGGGAAATGAAACGGCACATCCAGCCGAAAAAGCACAACACTGCTAAACTTGTTTTTTTTAAAGAACCAATTTTTAATTTCATTTACAGATCAGAGATTGCATGCAATAATCCACTTGGTATCTCTCACTCGGGAATCATATTCTCGTTGTCTGCATTGCCTTCTTCCTCGATTGTAGGCTTCGATGGCCCACCTGCTCCAGCCTGCTTCTTCTTTATCCCACTCACTATATCATCGATTCTCAACAGCATGCACGCAGCTTCAATGGCTGTCTTGAATGCTTGCGCCTTCACAGTGTATGAATCCCATATCTAAATATCATAATATAACGTCAGTGAATTAATAAACCCAGAAAGGAAATAATTCGATAATATTCATTCATCGAGTGATTAATCAAGAACAAAGCGGAAGAAGAAAAGGGAAGGGAGAACAAAATTCACACCTTGCGCTCTTTCATATCAGTGATTTCACCAGTGTTACCGTCGATTCCGATCCACGCATTCTCACCGTTTGCATGCTAGAAAAAAGACGAAATTATATTTATAACGGGCATAATTTAGAGCTTGTTCAAAACTGCAAGCACGCAAAAATTAGGATGTTTTACCTTTCCTTGTAAGGCAGTCATGATCCGAATCACATTGACACCACAGTTCTGAGCCAAAGTTCTTGGTATAGCTTCGAATGCCATTGCAGCAGCTTCATATGGCCACTGTTCGGAATTATCCATAAAATGAGAAGTTTTCAAAACCATATTCCGAGAAATGATACTCGAGTTCTCTATATAAATACATAGCTTCACAACAGGTTTTTATCAGAAGGAAAACTGTGAAATAGTTACTTTTGTTTAAACGTGAGTAGAATATCAGTATATAAATAATCGCCTAATCATGCTCTACAAATAAAATATCGACATTATAGTACCAGCAAAACATTCTCAGTAGTCTACAGATACTCCAAGTATAATCGAAGGTAGCCAAAATTGTTCGAAAACCGATAAACAGTGATTCAACAACATAAAGAACACATTGAAATTCTTTACCTTCTCTACGCCTTCAATGGATGAGCTCTTTTGCTTCAACATAGCAGATACAGTCAGTTCTGTCGCACCACCACCAGGAACAAGTTTCGGGTTTTTAATTATGTTTCTTGCCACAGCCATTGCATCCTATGTTAAAGTATAGTTAAAAATTTAAAATCATAGCTTTACCAAAAAAAAAAAAAAGAAAACGAATATTAGGGTACCAAAACTCAAAGATACCTGCAAATTTCTCTCCACTTCATTCAACAGGTCCTTGCTGGCACCCCTTAGAAGGACAGTGCATGCTTTTGGATCTTTACAGTCCACAATGAATGCAAAGAACTCATCACCAATTTTCCTCACCTCAAACAGTCCAGCGCCTGTACCGATATCAGATTCCTGCAATTCATCGGGCCTGTTAACAATAACTGCCCCACAAGCTCTGGCAATTCTGTTATTATCCGTCTTTCTCAGCCTTCTGATTGCACTGACACCAGCCTTGCTAAAATAATGGCAAGCTAGATCACTGAGCCCCTTTTCAGTTATCACTAAATCCGGTTTGAACTTCAATATCTGCGCACATAGGTTCTCTATGTACTCCTCTTCCATTTTCAGTAAGACACTCCAGTCTTCCTCCCTCAACAATTCAGCGTTGGTTTGGTTCTCACCTTTCTTGTACTCGAGAGGACAATCAAGAAGCATAATTCTTGGATTTAGTATTTTTCTTTTCATTTTGCCAGGGGCAACAACGTCCTTGTTGAACATGACTCCTTTTAAGACTTTCGAGTCTTCCAATTGACCACCGGGAATCTTCTCTACCTTGATGTACTTCTTGATATCCACCTCACGCAATCCTTGGCCAACATCAACACCTGCTGTGGTTGTGGCATCTATTGCCAAGTTCTGAAAAATTAACAAAGAACACACTGTGAATGCAGCTTCAATTACATTTGTCACGACAAACTATGGGTTCAAATTTCATATTGTGTAATTACTATGACGAAGCTGTTATTCTACAACCAGATATCACATGTAAATACAACATAAATAGGCAATGCAGGCAGGCCTTTTGGGTACTAGAGAATAGAGTGTTTACTTGACATGTTATCCCCTATTTATGTTTCTTCAATTCTCATCACATTAGAATGTCCTTTTTTTTACAATAAAACAACGAAGTTGAGATTCAATATTCACATCTTTAGCAAAAGGAGAAGAAAGGACAGTGGCAGGTGGATTGAGAAAGACCAGATATATTACAATCCACAAACAGTGACCAACGATCAAAATACTTACAGCAATCAAATCGCCAAATTGACTGGTAAACTTTGTGCCAATACAACTCTTGACAAGCCCTAACATTGTTGCATCTGAAAAAAAATAGAAACATACGAAAATAAGAGCTGGAAGAAAGAGAGAAATGACAGTGTCCATCCATAAAAAATGATGCATCAAAAGCTCTGGAACAGCCAGCTTTAAACCTAAACTGAGTTATCACTTAGGTTTGATTAGCTCTACCGTATGGCATGCAACTTCTTACAGCTGAACATAGAGGTTGAAATGGCTTTCCATACTCTCACAATGTCATGATAAAATACAAGACAGATAACAGTACAGAAATAACTCAAATAGTAGTCATGATCCATCACAAGTAAGACACTGTAATCTTAATAAAAATAAATCCAACCACAAATTACTAGCTCCATTAAAAACAAGCCAAACAACCGAAACATTTTCCAGTTCAGAGATTTCAAGCACATTAAACAGTTCAACCACATTAGCGTTACGGGTTTATAGGGAATGACAAAGGCAGTAAACTTACGATCATTTATATCCACAGTCATAGCAATTTTGTCAAGTACAGCGACTGCATCTTCCAGAGCTTTACCATAAGCTGCCGTCCAAAAGAAATAAACTTGTCAATATCAAGATTATCAAAATAGATAAACCAGACATGAAGTGACAATTAGATAGAGCTCAAATTTACCTCGACAAATGACCGTGGGGTGATATTTCTTGTCAATGAAGGCTTCAGCAACATGGAGCATTTCACCAGCTTCAATGTATAGATTATTCAAAGATAAGTACATCCACATAAACATAACAACATACGAAATATCGTCAAACATAATTTTTCTACGAGACAATCAGCTAAAACTTTAACATTGACCCATAAGAAATTAGAAGGCATTTGTTAATTGCATTAAAGTGAGTTCATGTGTATGCTCGCAGACTAGCATTCTTAATAAGTAGAAATTGCACATAGATACACCCCAAAACACGGTCATCATGCAAGTGCACACTTGCATCAATACCATTTGTCCCCATTGCAAGCTCAGCGCACAATATGCACTAAGTATCACAAGTAAACGAATAAGATTCCAAGTAAATTAAATGCATACCGAGGACAATCACGGATGTTGTCCCATCTCCCACCTCCTCATCCTGAGTTCGGCTTAGTTCAATCATTGACTGCCACCAAAGTAGAAAAAATGCACATATGTCAAAAGGCAATCAAAGTGACAAAAAGATCAGTAAGCTACAGTCATAGGAATCTTTCTTCCTGTTGTTCAAAGACTGAGGCAAACAAGTTAATGCTGAAAAAGAAAATGAAGGGAGAATGTACCTTAGCTGCTGGGTGTGCGACATCTAGCTCACGTAGAATAGCATTTCCATCATTTGTCACTACAATCCCTGTGTTTGTCAACATAAATAGGTTCAACAGGATGAAACGAATAACATACAGAATAATAAGATGAAAAAAAATATACAATCCCTGTGTTCTAGAAAATTGTGATTTTCCTTATCAACATCCTAAATTAGAGTTATTCATAGTCAAGTAAATATGATCAGTAATATAACCTCCAGAAGCATCAAGGAGCATCTTCAACATTGACCGCGGACCTAAAGTAGTACGTATAATATCTGCAACAGCCTGACAAGTGCAAAACAAATATGTTGAATTTAACCAATAAGGTAATGGGGGCAAAAAATGGAGTAAGGGAAAAAAACTCCGAGCCCTATGGTCTAATAGAGACCAGAAGCAGATATTGAGATTCATCAAACAAAAATCATAAACATAATGAGACATCACAAACATCATCGAGAAACACAGCATGAAAATTAAACCAATAGTCTCCCACTCTTCCCAGATGTTATACTATGTTAAACAAGAGGGACAAAAGGGAGTTTTAAAGAAAATATTATTACAGAAATGCACTGTTATTAGTATAACTTTGTTGCTTAGGATTTATTACCATCAATAGTGTTTTGGTCATCCAAAAACTGCTAAGCATTGGTATACACATTGTCTATAACCATACATGTCATGACACTTACATAAATCCGATCCTCCCGTGTATGATTGGGCTTCAAACTAAATGGCAAAGTTTTACTTATATAGGTAGAGTAATACTTGAAGATTTTGTTATGCTACTTTGCCCAAACCCTGGGTTGAGGCAGTATTCTCGCTAGTTGCTCAAAAGCGCCAAGAAACAGATTTATGCAATCACTCATAGCACATCAGGCAGATACGAAAAAAGGCAATCTTACTAAAGTAGCTACTCTTTATAGGCCCGCATCAGAAAGGAGCACGATATTTCACATTGCTAATGCAAAATAAATAGAAAGTTTAGAAAATACACAAACTCCTGATCCTCAAAGTCGATTCAAAACGCATCAAAGAAAAGGATAAAAGGACGAGATTACGAGAGTGGGTACTACCTTGGATGCTTGAATATTGGCATGTTGCACCTTGCTTCCAGACTCCCGCTTCAATGTATCTTCTGCTTAAAAGAAATCAAAATATATGAGCAAGATCATTAGTGCAACACTTACATGAACGAAGCCATGAACGAGCTGAGCTCCATATCTCAGTACATTTGAAACATTTATTAAAGTAACCATACAAGGAAGAAGTGAACTTTATGTCCAAAATCTACACAATAAAACAACCCTACCCCTTAACAGACTCAAAAGAGGCATTTCCTTCACTTAAAAACATAAAACCCTAGGTAAAATTAACAAAAAAACCCGCATTTTCGAATGTGCATCCAAATCTAAAACTAATCGAGATCGGAGCATTTGATTCGCGGTGCGTTTGAATCTTGCTCTGTTCACCATACATATACATATACAAATACATAGAGATGTATAACAACTGAAGTGTGTAATGGATCTACTGCGTGTACTGAAAACGTAAGAAATGGCGGCCGTGCGAATTGGTACAAAAAACAATGAATTTAAAAAGAAGAAAATCAGAGAGAATGTAAAATGGCGAGGAAGAAGAAGCGAAAAGGAGAACTTACTCAGTACGAGGACTGGGGCATGCATATTGGATTCCGATCTGAAGTTACCAGATTCGCGAGATTTGGTATTTGAGAGCGAAATGCAGTGAAGAAGAAGAAGAAAAGGTGATTTTTCTTCTGGAAAACCCTCGAACTCGAACAAGGGTTTTTAGTGTACTTGTGTTTGTGTTTGTGTGTGTGTGTGTGTGTGTGTGTGTGAAAGAAGTGCCTCTAGTATAATAACCCCGTTTTATAGCAATAAAATAAAATAATTTAGGGTATATTCATCAAAAAAAGATTATTTAGGGTAAATACTATTTAAATATCACATAACCCCCTTTGGTTTCACCATTTTGCACATAGTCCCCATGTAATATTCATATAGGGATATTAACTATTAAGTACTGAAATGTTAATTGCAGACTTTTACTGAAATTGGCTTATTTGCAGTTGTAATTTTATTTCTTATTTTTCTAACTTTCTAAAGAAATCGAAACTCTCTGACAATGAATATTTCAATGTGGATATTAAGTATGAAAATAACAAAGAATTAGTGATATGGCGTAAAACACCGTTATTCATGGTCATCGATTGATAGTAGCTTCAAGCGAGAAAAACATTTATGTACTAATTACATGTCATATGTATGGGAAGGGACATGAAAAACGAACCGGTGGTGTGAGACTACGAAATGTGGGAACAAATATATGTGGATGTACGTTTCGTTTATATGATAGCAGAAATCGATATGATGGACTATGGCGAATGAAGTTAAAAGATGGCATCCACACTCACACGATGCTACCGTATCATATATGACAATGTCCGGAAAGTCGTTTGACACTAGAAGAGTACGAAGTTGTGAAGTTACTGAGAAGGAGCCACGTAAAGCCGACATTAATTATGGATAGATTGAGGAAGGATAATTCACAGACATCGACGAGTGTGAAACATGTATACAACCAACTTGAGAAGATGAAAAGAGAGAATATGGCGGGGAAGACAGTCATACAGCACGTGATATCGAGCCTTCAAGAAACTGGATATGAATATTGGTATCGAAGTAATGAAACCGGTGATACACTGACTGATTAGATTTTTGTCGCTTCTATTTCACTCAAAATTTTGTGGTTATTTTCTCATGATATATTGATGGACTTCACTTACAAAACCAATATGTATGTAATTTGTATTCATTTGTTATGTATTTAGTAATTGTAATTTGATTGCATTTGATATTTACGTTTTGAGGTTTAAAAATATTTGATGTATGTATGAAATGCCACTTCTCGAAATAATTGGGGTTACCCATGTTGGATATAATTTCACAATTATTGTTGCTTTCAGGGTCTGAAATGTGCATTGGAAGGACTGATACCTAATGTGATCTTGAGGGATCAAGAATTGGGACTCATTAAAGCGCTGCCTCAAATATTTTCAACTTCCCAACATTTCTTGTGTTTGTTTCACATAAATAGAAATGTGGGAAAAAAAATGCGTTGAAGTTTATTGGAAGTAGTAAACACAGGGTTTTATTCCGGCGCGAACATTGGGAAACACTTAGCGGAATAAAAAACATTGGAAGATTACTATGAAAATTACGAGGTAATGGTTAGACGCTATGGTTGTTACCCCAAACTGATATCATACCTGAACGATACTTGGTTGATATACAAGAAAAAAATTGTCAAAGCATGGACTAATAAGAAATTCCATTTTGGAAACACGTCGACAAATAGGTATTTTCGTTTTCGGTTATGCATTTTTAAATATATATATATATATATATATATATATATATATATTGTTGATGTTTTTAGTTATTAGTTGCATTTTTTTATGTCTATGGAAATGGTGGGAAGTGCTCCAATTCGTCGAAGGGCTGGATTAGTGTTTTTACCAGCGTTGTTAACACCGTGCAATATTAGCTTGATTCGGGGGTCGAGCGTCAACTTACTAGGATCAAGGGGAAGTTTCAAAATCCAGTTTAATCAGGAAGCATAAAGCAGCGTATCTGGTATTTCAGAATTTGATATGCAAGGTCAGGTCACATAAGACATTAAATTTGCTGGGGGTTACGACGGGCGGCGGTCCCTGTTGCACTGGCCGTCTGTTGATGACGTACTAATGCATGCGAGATTTGTACCACTCCAGGTACTGAGAAACAACATCTGATGGCGGCGAAGCTAGTTTTTACCATGCACTGAAATCAAGTTGTCAGCCAAGTCCGTCCACTCATCACTTGGAGCATCATATTGTATCTCGTATGTTAGACTTCCAAGGGGACCGCGTCGGTATAGCTCTCCAGACTGAATGCAGCAGTGTGGTATGGTCTAGATAAATCCAAACTGCCGTAAGACACGATCCGGCAGATATAGATTGACAGTCAACATAAACTAGATACAATCGTAATAGAGTGTAAGCGGAACGCGTCTATGCAGGTGCGGACCATACGACATCCAGTTAGTATGGTACAATTTTTATTACGTAATAAATACAAAATGCATCAACCATTGAATTAATATAACAACTTCAAAAAACATACCTGATCGGCTTGCATCTCGTCGAGCAACCTTCATACCGAAATCGAGTTCTGAAACATCCTTATGTAGTTTCCACTTCATGAAACGGGGTTGCATTTCCCTATAAGCCAGATTAATAGGTACTCGGAAAGGACGTAAGTACTCATAAATCTAGCACATTAAATAATAAAGAAAAATTACATACTAAGTTATAATAAATTGAAAAAAAAATGTTCATAATAAAATACCTGGAGCAATAATGTACATTCATGTAGCCCCTTCACGTGGGCCTTATTAGCCAGGCCAATTGTCGGTAAAAGTGGGCCAAAACCGATGCACCCCAAGCATACTCACCGACGTGCTTTAGGTCGAAGGAGCATCTCATCCACGTTGGCTTCAGCTCGTCTACGGTCCAATTGGGGAACAAAGCCATCCCGAGTAGAAACATCAGAAACTCTACGACCTTCTGTCTTCAAGATCGATGCCGCTGCAACACCCAATCACATAGCTCCGTCCAATGGACCCCAACATTCATGTACATATCATTCGGGTCGACTAGGTTCAGATCAAGAACCTCTTTAACAACAGCTCACACATTGGCCTCTCCGCCTCAAAATTATATTGGATTGATAGATTGTCGATACGCAACCCCAAAATGAAGACAACATCATGCAGGGTGATCGTCGTCTCACCCCAAGGCATGTGGAAATTGTTCGTCTCCGGCTGCCACCTCTCGACAAACGCCTACATTAGGCTCTTCTCCACATTATGAATGTAGAAGTGCTCGAGTGAGTTCACGCCAGATGCTTCCATTAGCTCTAACTCATCATGCACGTATGGTGTCATGTGCTTCTTTAGGTCATCCTTCGTAAACGCGTTTAACGCGTGAATCCTATACTCACACCGTCCGTCAGTGTGCTCCTACAGAATATGTATTTATTAAAAGAATGTATGTTAAAAAAATGAAAATATATATAAAAAGAAATAAATATAAACTTAAACATGTTTTTCCCAAATGTAGTGAGCCATATGAATCTTGAAGCTAGGAATCAATCTATAGGTAATTTTCATCGTCGTCGTCGTCATCGTCTCGATTATAGGGGATACGAGAATGCTGCACTACAGCTTCAGTCCCCACCATAGCTCTCAAAGTACATACCATATCGGGTACTTCATCCACGTCGGGTAAATCGGCTGCGTCAGTTGTTCGCTCACTATCTCTCGTACGCCGATGAGATGCAGTCATAGGAATGCGGTCTAGTCCACCGTCCGGCTATAATAATAATATATAAAAATCTTCCTTGGAATCGTGCTCTAGAGTACGAGACCTTCAAGAATCTTAAATGTCGCGTACTCTATAGTACAATTCCATCAAAAATTTCCAACGAATCGTGCTCTATATCAGGAGACGTTCAAGATTTGTGAAGGCCTCGTGCTCTAGAGCACGCTCCCTCGGAAATTTACCATGAATCGTGCTCTAGAGCACGAGACATTCAAATTTCTTGAAGGTCTTGTGCTGCAGAGCACGATACCTCCCTATTTTTTTTCAAAAATTACCTAGATCTAACTAATCATACGTTTTTACCTAAATTGTAAATGAAATTGATTGAAAGTAGTAGAATTTGAAAAAAAAAAAATCGGAATCAAGACTCGTTTGCTGCGGATTGAAGCCGATTTTTTTTTCGAATGTTGATTGTGTTTGGGAGTTTGGGGATACAGAGATAATTTTGAAAAACAAAATTCAAATGAATGAGATTTCGCTGTATTCAGTAATAATACCGCTGCAAATAGCAACACCCTATTAAGTATTAACCCCTCAATAGCACATAAACCCCCTTGGTTTCACCATTTTGCACATGATCCCCATGTAATATTCACATAGGGGATATTAACCCATCAAAACACATGTACTAAAGGTATAGTCTTAATGTTATATTGGTTTTATTCTCAAAAAAGTATAATGTTATATTGGTTTTTAGCAACACACCCCTCGTTAGAAATTTATTGTAATCATAAATTCATATTGCATTAATATATCAATTTTATCATTTTTTATCCATCGCAAATCCTATATCACACTCATCTCACCAAAATTAACTCAAACGCCACAACTAGGACCATATAGTATTAGGAGACCCACGAAGAGATCAAGTCCGGGGAACTGGTGAGTTATTCGGCTTTGGGTGAGATGAATTTCGACCGACCTTCATAGCGAACGACAAAACACTTCTCGCTGCCATGCTCATTTCTCGCTTCATTCTCGCTGCACCGCTTGTTGAAGTCACATTTAATGCAGGTCCAATCGTCTGACAAGCTGCAGAGAATGTTTGCTACTTTTTACATGTGGAGGCGTTCTTACTGACTATTAAAATGACAGACTAAACTCGATTGGAGGTAATTTGAAATCCGTAATATTTTATTACAGTGATCAGACTGGTTAAACTAGAATGGAGAAAGGGTTGACGTCCATTTTCATCTATAAATTTGGGCAGTACCGTCTAGGAAGGTAAGCTCTCAGAAAATAACCGTAAAATATATGTTCTTCATAAGAAAGACTTGCGACCAAAAATAACTTAACGTATTAAAATCAAATACTTTAAAGAAGATTACTAACTTGGCCGTCAAATTGCTAACCCCGACACGAGTCCGAATTTTCCTCTCTTCTACAGATTTGTTTAAAGATTCAAGGCCCAATCCAGCCCTAAAGCCCACTTTAAAGATCAAGTCTCATCCTAACAAAAATATCATGAATTGGGACCGATCACACACGATCTATATCTCTCCCCTCTCGATATCTTATATGTTTCTCTCTCTCTCTCTTTCTTTTGACGATTCGTCCCTGACCTTGTTCTTCTCCATCTCAACGAAAACCCAAGTGATCTCTCTCTCTCTCTCTCTCTCCGATTGATCGACCGCATTTCTCTCCTCTCTGGTGGTTTCATTGTAAACGGCGACGGTGGCGTGGTGAAAAATGAAGGTTCTCAGGTTGATGGTGGTGTTTTCATTGAGATGTGTGTGCTAGGATTTCCACATGACATTGTTATTCTTTAAGCAGTGGTGTTTCTATTTCACCAGTGACGGTTCTCTTTCACTACGAGGGATTTGAAGATGAGAACCCAATCGAGAAATCGGTCGATCTAAGGGGAAATAGTAGAGGTTGACCTTTGAATGTGTTGTAATAGTAGTTGATATAAATGCTAGAACATAGTTGTTTTAATTAGACATAGAAACTGTATTTTTGCACAAAACGGGTACAAACTTGAGAATATTCCATAAAATCCTGAATATTCCACTAGATCTGACACCGCAATGATGAATATGTAAGAAGATTCATAGTTGAAGGGTGATTGTAATTACCCAAACATGAGTGGTTAGCTGTAATTTACCCTAATAAGTTATTTGAAAAATAAAAAAAGGTAATGTAAAAGCACTTTAAATAGACACGGCTGAACTGTTGGGCTATTTCGGCCAAACATTAAGGTGTACACATAACACACACACACACAAGAGCGTAGGTGGCGTGTGTTCAACCACATCTCGCCCATCTCGCTCTTACACTCCAAACCCTCCGATTAGCCCTAACTCACCCACCCCTCAATTCTCCAATTTAATTATTCATCTCATGGCTTCCGCCGCTGATCCCACCGCCGCCGTCGCCGTCTTCAACGTCGATGAAGACCTAATCGACGACGACGATGACGTCGAGAGCTCCGACCGCGACGAAGACGATTCCGCCTCCTCCGCCGCCCTCGCCGTCGATCGCCATCTTCCGTTCACTTCCGCCGCCCAAGTGACCGTCGCCTTCCCCGATCCCCACCCCCACCTCCGCCTGCAACAGCCGGAGCACCACCACCACCAGGAGATCGTCGTCGCGAAGAAGCCGATGCCGCCGGACGAGTCACGGAAGCTGTTCCAGCGCCTCTGGACCGACGAGGACGAAATTGAGCTCCTCCAAGGGTTTCTCGACTACACCACGCAGCGATTTGGGGCACACAATTCCTCCTCCCAGCACCACCACGACACGACGGCGTTTTACGACCAGATCAAGAGCAGATTCCAGCTCGATTTTAACAAGAACCAGCTCGTCGAGAAGCTCCGCCGCCTCAAGAAGAAGTACAGAAACGTTGTCGCCAAATTCAGCTCCGGCAAAGACTATGTCTTCAGGAGTTCCCATGAACAAGCCACCTTCGAAATCTCCTCCAAAATTTGGGGCAACACCGCCATCAACAACTACTCGCCCTTACCTGCCGCCCCTGCCCCCGCCCCCATCGGAGACGACTACGACGACCTTAACAACCACCATTTCGCTTATTTTCAAAGCCCTAACCCTAATGGCATTGATATAAACAGCAAAACCCCTCCCCCCAGAAAGAGGAACCGAGCTGGAGTAGTGAAAGTAGAGCTTATCAACCCGATTAGTACCATCAACAACAATCCGCCAGCAGTGCCGGTGGCTCCAATGGCTGCTCCGGCGATGGGCATGGGGGCAACTCAGATGGCATCTCCGGCGATGGGAATGGGGGCAACTCAGATGGCATCTCCGTTGATGGGCATGGGGATAACAGGATCAATGCCTAGTGTGATTGAAGAGACTGTCAAGAGTTGTCTGACTCCGATAATCAAGGAGCTATTGACCAATTCGATGAGTTCGACTCCAAATTCTAACGGGCCTTGTTGCGGACATGGCTTCGGGTTAACGCGAAATCTACTACCCGTATGTTTTAACACAGCCATGGGCGGAGATAAAACTGCTAACAACAACAGGTGGAGGAAGCAACAAATGTTGGAGTTGGAAGTGTTCTCGAAGCGCTTGGAGTTGGTGCAGGATCAAATTAGAGAGCAATTGCAGGAGCTTAGGTCCATGGGGAATTGAATTGAGTTGATTGACAACGTTATCGGGCGTAAGTGTGTTCCTTTCTCGGATCTCTTTTTTTAATCTTATATAGAACGTTGTGACGGATGTTGGTAGATGCGAAATGCAGAACGCTTACATTATGATTGGTTAAATAATGAGTTGAGATTGTTCAGTCCATATTAGATAGTTTGACATGTAAATTAAAATTACATGGTGTGGTAATATTAGATGTTATAAATTATAATGTATCCAAGAACTGATTTGGTCTGGTAATTAGGCGTTATAATGTATCGGGAACTGATTTCCCGTGAAGGGAAGTGGTAAAGAATCTATGATATTGATTACTGAATGTGTTTGTTTTTTTTCCGCCTCCCCTCATTATTTTCACTGTAGTTGTGAATTTTAACGGCCGAGTCTTATACTCTTATTCATGGCGTAACTATTGTTGTATCATAAAATGAGTGCAGGAATAGATGGAATCTCTATAGGACTTGTTTTTTTCGAAAATACCTTAAAACTCCTCCAAAGTTTACTACACCACCACTATGTGCACTCGTATTGATGTTTGAGAGATGTGGGACCAATTTTTGTGTGGACTGATCCGAAATTTCCTGCTCGGTCTTGTTTATAAGCATCTTCATGCTTCAGCTATTGATTGTTTCTGAATCAAGCTTCAAACTTTGAGCACAATTTTACTCGTATGCGTTTGCATCTCTTTCTCAAATTCTGTTTTTAGGTGTAAGATAAGATTCAAAATTGAATCAGCTGGATTTGCATTTAGCCTTGAGATAATCATGTGCAGAATTATTTATCTTTTTGTCTGTTTGAAGAAGTTTTCGTTTGCACAAAAACTTATGTATCAAAGGTCGCCCTGGCATGCATGTAGTAGTATTATTTTACTTTTGCGGATTTATCCGTTTTGTCGTTTTTTTTATTTTATGCCGGAAAGTGTTGAGTTACCGGCTACATGTACACATTTATCAGACCTATTTGCTAGAACGATCTGCCAAATTCGGGATTGAGCGGGAAAGTACCCGATACGACGGTTTAAATTCGTTATCCTGTTTCTTAATCAGAATTCCTCATTCCCTCTTGTGTGTTTGTGAAAGTGTGACTTTTCTAGTAGTAAAATTATTGCTTGAGAAATGACTTCAAGATTGTTTTAGAATTATTTTGATTTATACAATGATTTATTGGTATTTATGGTATACATACAAGTATATAACAATTGGCAATAATGATGTTAAGGTCGTGTTTGGAATTTTTTTTTTAAAAAGTAAAAGTTGATGATTGCGAGTAAATTTACGAACAATTGTTTATTAGGTAAAAGTTGGGGAGTTTACAAAAGTTACTAGAAAATCAAAATTTTAAATAAATAGAAGTTCATGATTGCGAGTAAATTTATGAACAATTGTTTAGTAGGTAAAAGTTGGGGTGTTTGCAAAAGTTACTAGGAAGTCAACATTACATATTTTCTTAAGCTTTGGTAATTTCTTTTAAGGATTTCGTAATAATTAGCATGGAATTGGTAAAATTTTTGAAGGTTTCGAGCTAATTAATTAGCCCAAAATTTGTACAAGGATTTCGTGCTTATGAGCTCAAAACTTGCAAAAATTTGGATTTTTTGTACGAACAATTTGTACTTTTTTTCGAAATCTAATTTTTCACTAACGACTATTTGTAAACAAAATTGTAAATTAATCAAATGTAAATCATAAAATACTATATGCAAACTTGTTAAAATTTAAGTCAAATTGTTGTCGCACGTGACATAAGTTTTTAAGGAATTTTATGGGTTTCAGAGAGTTTTGAGAATTTTGAAGTTTGAAAACTCAAAACAAATGAAATCCCTCCACTGCAAGAAGCATTTCAGTTGATTTAAAATCATTGGAATGAAAACGACGATACAATCTCAACGACTCAAGTCAACACGTGTTTGCATTGTTTTGTAAATTGGCATGTGAGATTGTACTCAGGCACGTGGAAATTTAATAGGTCTAACATGAAAATTCTACACCCCAGCTACCTCGAGCGCCTGGTGGCATCGAACCATCACATTCTCGATTCACTTAGGCTTGGTGATTCATGAACTTTTATAATTAGTGTATAAGCATCATTTGGGCATTACAAACATTTTATCATCAAAGAGATGTTACCTATAAGGAATCCAAAAAAATAACGTCATGTTTATGGCTCGTTCTGGTACCTATATCTATATCAGATTAGTTAGGATTATATATTTTCTACTGACTAATTAATTATTGAGGCTATTACAAATAAGTCCATTATGTGCCACTTATTCATAATGAAGATCAGACCAAAAATTCTTTTACAAAAAAGTCCAGAGGTACATAAAAAGACTAAAATACTCCATTACATTTTAATATGCTCCAATTTCATTCATTTAACCCAATTTAATCTCAATGTGACCATAAATTTTCCAACTTTTCGATTTTGACACATAATCCAATTTAAATACTCCATTACATTTTAATATGCTCCAATTTCATTCATTTAACCCAATTTAATCTCAATGTGACCATAAATTTCCCAACTTTTCGATTAAGACACATAATCCAATTTTAACCGTTGCCGTCGATCTCCGGCATTGACTTATTTTTTCCTGCTGCCGCCGCCACTAACCGGCAGTGTTGACCTTTATTTTATTTTTTAAAGTTTTTTTCCTGAGCATTTTTTGGCTCTCGTAAAAAACACAATAATATTACTATGGTTGATAATAATATCAACTATATTACTGTTTAACACAGTCATATTGCTATATTACTATCTAATATAGTAATATTAACGCAACAAAACCGCTATGTTACATTTATGTAATACAATAATATTATTATGTTGACCGATCAACAAACACAAACATAATAAAAAACAAAAAAAAAATTAATATTCTTGTAATTGGCAGTAATATTAAAATTATTATTGTCATTAATAATTATATTACTATAACAAGGATAATATTATTGTGGTTACAGTAAAATTAATTTTACTTTGAACCACAATAATATTACAATAGTCGATAATAGATAAAAATATTATTAGGTCAACAAATAAAAATTAAAAAACCAAACAAAAAAAATGAATAAAGTTAGGCTGCGGCTATATGCAAGACTAATTCCACTTGTGCAAGACCAAATTAAAATTTTCAATGTATAAATACTATAATACCCTTATTTATTAAAAAAATAAAAAATTCCAAATATGCAAGACCAAAAATTCAAAAACACAAAAAACCCTATCACAAGACCACAAAACCACAAGATCAACTATCATCTTCTCCATCTTCCAAAACCCACAAGACCTTTTCTCCTTCCTCCTCCATTAACCCACAAAACCTAGAAATTCAAAATCATCAAAACTCAACAAATCTTACAAAGATGGCAAGTATGGAGTCATGAGACATCAAAATAGAAGATTCTACGATGGAAGAACCCAAGAATGTATGCATTTATGGGTTTTTTTAGCTAGAATCGATTTTCCAAAAAAAATCCCGCGCAAACGAATTCGACATGTACAGGTCGAATTTTACAGCTAAAAATCGACATTTAGATGTCGATTTTGAGGTATAAAATTCGACATTTGAATTTGTGCTATAAATTCGACATGTCAATGTCGATTTTTACCTATGAAATTCGACGCTTAAGTGTCGATTTGTAGCATAGTTTTTCGACACCTTGGTGTCGATTTTTGTTTTTTTCTCATTATTTGTATTTGGTCTTACATGAGAAAAAAAAGTCAATTTAATTTATGGGCATACTTGTCATTCCATCTTAATAAAATAGAATCTTTTAGAATCTTTCTTAAAATTTGGTCTTGCACAAGTGGAATGAGTATTGCATATAGCCGCAGCCATGTGGTGAATAGTCAAACACCAATGAATTACAAAATAACCAAAGAGACGTGGCTTTTTTGGGCTGAGTGGGTTTAGCAAACAATAGGTGTATGTATAGACTATAGACCAATTACCCCAACCACCCCCCTTCAATTCTCGATTTTATTTTATTCCCCCATGGCCTCCGCCGATGATCCCACCACCACCGCCGCCGCCGCCGCTAATATCTTCAACGAAGACGAAGACCTAATCGACGACGACGACGATGAGGAAGAAATCTCCGACCGCGACGAAGGCGATTCCGCCTCCTCCGCCGCCCTCGCCCTCGATCGCCATCTCCCGTTCACTTCCTCCGCCCAAGTGACCGTCGCCTTCCCCGATCCCCACCCCCACCTCCGCCTCCAACAGCCGGAGCACCACCACCACCAGGAGATCGTCGTCGCCAAGAAGCCGATGCCGCCGGACGAGTCACGGAAGCTGTTCCAGCGCCTCTGGACCGACGAGGACGAAATTGAGCTCCTCCAAGGGTTTCTCGACTACACCACGCAGCGATTAGGCGCACACAATTCCTCCTCCCAGCACCACCACGACACGGCGGCGTTCTACGACCAGATCAAGAGCAAATTCCAGCTCGATTTCAACAAGAACCAGCTCGTCGAAAAGCTCCGCCGCCTCAAAAAAAAGTACCGAAACGTCGTCGCCAAATTCGCCTCCGGCAAAGAGTATTCATTCAAAACCGCCCACGAACAAGCCACCTTCGAAATCTCCTCCAAAATCTGGGGCAGCACCGCCTTCAACGGCTACGCCGCCTTGCCTGCCGCCCCTGCCCCTGCCTCCGCCCCGATCGAAGAGGAAGATGACGACCTCAACAGCCCCAATTTCGCCTATTTCCAAAGCCCTAAACCTAACGGCATTGATATAAACAGCAAAATCCCGCGCCCAAAGAAGAGAAACCGAGCTGGAGTAGTGAAAGTAGAGCTAGCCAACCCGATTAGTACTATTAACAACACTCCGCCAGCAGTGCCGGTGGCTCCAATGGCTTCTCCGGCGGTCGGCATGGGGGTAACTCCGGGGGTATCAGGATCAATGCCAAGTGTGATCGAAGAAACCGTCAAGAGCTGTTTGTCGCCGATAATCAAGGAGTTGTTGTCCAATTCGATGAGCTCCACTCCGAATTCCAATAGTCCTTGTTGTGGACACGGGTTCGGATTACCACAAAATTTGCTGCCCGTATGTTTTAACGCAACCATGGGCGGGGATAAAATCGCCAACAACAACAGATGGAGGAAGCAACAAATGTTGGAGTTGGAAGTGTTCTCTAAGAGGCTGGAGTTGGTGCAGGATCAAATTAGAGAGCAATTGCACGAGCTAAGATCCATGGGGGATTGATTGATCGACAACTTTTCTTGGTCGTCGTAAGTGCGTTTCTTGGCCTTTTTTTTTTTTTCGTTTATCTTTTTGTTAACCTTTTGATTGTTGATAGATGTGAAAGTGCAGATCATGCTTAGATTACGATTGGGGTGAATAATGAGTTGAGGTTGTGCATTGCCTTTGATGGCTTGCTCATTTTCTTGACGTAGATGTTAGAATAGTTTGACATGTAAATTAAAAATTTACTAGTTGCTCGGTTTCATGGCGTAATTGGGTGTTATAATGTATTAGCCAGTGATTTCCTTCCGTCGAACGGAAGCAGGAAAGACCTCGATTTATAAACTTATGGCACAAATAAGTAGTTTCTTTTTTTTCTTTTTAATTTTTTTTATAGGTTTTGCTTTATGCTTAATTGGTTTGTTAAGACTAATCGTCTACTTTTCATGGCGTAAGTATTGTGTGGATGACCATTATCGGAAAGCGATTAAATGAAAAATTAGTTAATGTTGCTTAGTAGTTGTTTTCGTTGTCATGCTATGAATCTTTTTGCGTCTTCGATTTGTCTATTGAGGGAGCTAAATATGAATGCTGTCTTAACGGAGCAAAATGAAGTTTTGCTTCTTTAATTTGGCGAAATTCGGTGTTTCTATTAATTTATCAAAATTTGGTCTTGGCAATTGCTTCTCTTTTTCAGTCAGATTTAGTTCAATTTTCTCTTTTTCGGGTTGCAGGAAAAGTTATTTTAGTTTTGGGAAAAAGCAAGCAGTGTAGGATTTGTGAGGATAAATAAAAAGAAAAAAGAAAAATAAAGGGTGATGAAACGCTTTAAGTGAGTACCAAATTACTTTACTCTAAAAGCCATGCTACACTTTTCAATCTATGTGCTTGTTGAGCTTCGGCCAAGAGGCCCACGTCATTATTATTATTTTTATTTTTTATTTTAAGGACATTTAAAACAAATACAAAATCCTTCTCAGTTTAATTTTTTTAATATTTTTGGACGTAAATACTCTTAACTATATTCAATGTTAAATACCACACACTCAAAACCCCGTCAAACTCTTCTTCTTCACCAACCTCAGTTCTAAGAAATGCAATTGCATGTTTAAATTGAAGGACATAATATTAGATAAAATGTTCGGTCAGAGTTTACTATTGTCAGTAGTATTCACAACCACAATTTATTTGAAACTTACAAGGACTCTCATATGCCGAAAGATTAATAAAAGAAGAGATGTTACTTGTTGAAAGTTTGTTCAAAACAATAGTCAAACCAAAGGCAATTCTAAGAACGTTGAAGCCAAGGGATGTGACAAATGTAATTGGGATGAAAACAGTTAACAATATTTGCCAGAAGATAAAGTTTGAAGAGTTATCTAACATGTCTCAATTTCAATTTTTGCATTAAGTTGGCAGACTACTATCCGTACATATACATCATGAATTGCACGTACAAAATCAATCGTTGGAGATTATAGGTGTTACTTGTACTGACAAGACGTTCTCCGTCGCCATTGCCTACTTGGACCACGAAAAAACTTATAAAGTTCTAATGGCATTACGTATCTTGGAAAAATGTCCTCTGCCTATTTGCATTGTAACATATCGGGATTTGACTTTGATGAAAGCAATAAGAAATGTGCTCCATCCAAATCATCATTTGTGTGTCGTTTCAGTCGGCTTGGTCGGCTCTGATTGATCGAAATATTGTGGAGGCGCTCAATAGGGATTGAGAGTCATGAAATAATCATTTGTTGATTATCCGGAGGCTATAGCATATGTAGCTAATTCAAGGTTGGATCCTTTCAAGGAGAAATGTTTAATGACATGGACAAATAAGTGTCCTCATCTTGGAATGTACACTTCTAATTAGGTGGAGGGTGTACACGGACGGACGAAAAAAGACCTGGGGAAATCAACTGGCAACTTCGTGGATTTTTATATTGATGGAGGTTAATCACCACCAACATTGTCTCTTCTCGAAGACCTTCCCAGATCTCAACCGCCGGAAAACTACTCCGATCATTTGAAATTCCGGGGCTTGAGCCCCGGGGAGAAACTCCGACCCTCAAGTTAGTTGGGGAAATAGTTCGAGAAAGAGTAAAATGATAAGGAAAACGAATAGAGAAGACAATGTGAGATCGATGTGCTGATAGTGTGATTTAGTGCGTGTAGGAGTGTGTATCATGTGTGAATAAAGCGTACCTCTTATTGGTAAGACTATAAAATATTTATAAGTCATACATATTCTTGAGGTTTGACCTAATTATGAGCTCATTAAACATAATATTATTGGATCACCGTCCATCAATGGACTTTAGCTCAAATATTTATACAAGCTCAATAGTTTGTCAAATCAACCCTCGTCATATATGAATATCCACAATCAAATTCTCGAACAACACAATTCCATCAAAGAATCTTTTGAAATAAACATAAATGCGTACCAACACATTTTAAAGTTGTTGTACGCGGAAATGTATCTAAGTAAATTCTTAAACAACTGAAAGTTGAGGCGGACAAGTCGAAAGAATTGCTTCCAAGTGATATGTCTTACAGTTGCATCATCCGAAGAATCATTGTCTACCTTGTTGCCATGATCTTCACAAGTATATTGCAAAGAAATGTCATATCCCACTTGACTTGATAGGCTCGTATTAGAAGCATATAAGTATGGAGCCAGTCGTGAAGGGCCTTCTTTTAGCCCTCTCAGTCACCCCACTGAGGAGCTGCTTCAACCAATCCAACTTGACGGCCTTCTTTTTATCCTTGTCATCTGGGCTCTGACCTAGCCACCGGTACACAATAGGAAGCTGTCGAAATTCACTCAAGATTCGAAAGGTATCTACCGAAAATAGCTAAAAGTTCGATAGGTTCAAGTGGAAAACCACATGCAAAATCTCAAACGAAATTCAAGCAAAAAATGAAGAAATAATTTAATATTAATATCTCCAATACGCTCAAGTGCGGACGAATTAATTTTTGAAGCCTTGCACATGAAATATTTGAAATGGGTGACTGTGGGATTCGAACTCGGGACCTTTACGTTTGGCATACCATATTGAATGACCATTTTCAACTAAAAGTTTAAGCTGTTAGTGAAATGTATCATTTAATATTATTATCTCCAATAATACTTGTATTTGCATTTCATTTTAGGTTTATTGTTATTCCCATATTGATTTGAGTGATAAAAATGAGGTGATTAAAAAAAAACTTACTGAACTTGGGTAGTTTTACACGAAACACAGGCTTATGATTTGTGTAAAACTCCACATAATACAAAAAAGGAAAAAAAATCTAAAACACATTTTTTCGTGCTCCGTAACCTAAACTTTAAAAATACTCTATTTCGTGAGTTTTTACCTTCAAAACTTGCAAATGAAATAAAGTCGCAGTTCAGACCACTAAAACACGTACTGATAGCATATCAGATTACCTAATTAAAACCCTGTGGAAAAATGTGTAATGCATTTGGCTAACAACACTAAAGTAAATCCTTGCAATGTTCACCTTTATATCTTGGCACGTTGCACGTTCAAAATTTTCGAGTTAATTACGAACATCATGCTTATAAAGCTTATAAACATGCTTAGTCTTGATAATTATGTGGCCCTACCTAAGCAATCTTAACAAACATGGAACCCATTAGACAAACTCTTTTAATGAATATTTTCACACAAAATTCATTAAAATATGTAAATATTTGTACATTTCAATTAAAATCGTGTGTATATATATATATACTAAATACACTATATTCAAAATATGTTCAATGAAACTCCTTTAATTAAGTCAATAATTACGCAAAGAGTAAAGATGAACTAGATGAATGTGCAAGATGCCCGAAAAAAATATATAAAAGTTAGGGCAAATGGCAAAAAGGCCCATCACATGGGACTTAAATGCATTTTAGTCCACAAAAAAAACAGTCTCTCAATTAAGCCCATCCCCATGTCTTTAGTCTAAAATACCCTCAATAATATAATTCTTAACAATTCCACCCATTATGCTCTAACTTCCTTAATATTACACATTGACCCCGGATTTAAACAAATATATCACATTAACCCCCAAAACTTTTTTTTTTCAGAAAATAATTTTTTTTCTGAACTGTTTTTTTTCCGGCCAGATTCCGGCAAGATTCCGGCGTTGACTTTTTTTTTTTTTTTTTTTTTTTTTTTTTGAAATTTTTTTTCCTGCTTTTTTTTTTCCGGCCGGTCAACCACCGTTGACCGCCGGTTTCCGGCGTTGACTTTTTTTTTTTTTTTTTTTTTTTTTTTTTTTGAATTGTTTTTTCTTAGAAAAAAAAAATATTTTAAATAATATTACTGTCTTGACTACTAAATTACTGTCTCAGACAGTAATATTACTGTTTGAGACAGTAATATTATGAATATTATTTTTCCGAACAATAATATTATTAATATTATTATCTAAGACAGTTAAATTACTGTTGGAGACAGTAATTTAACATCCAAGACAGTAATATTAATTTAAATAAATTTTTTTTAAGGGAAAAAATTAAAAAAAAAAAAAAAGTCAATTAACAGTTAAGTTACTGTCTCCGACAGTTAAATAACTGCTGGAGACAGTAATTTAGCAACGAATACAGTAATATTAATTAAAAATATTTTTTTTAAGAATAAAAAAGTCAATTAACAGTTAAATTACTGTCTCCGACAGTTAAATAACTGCTGGAGACAGTAATTTAGCAACGAATACAGTAATATTAATTAAAAATATTTTTTTAAGAATAAAAAAGTCAATTAACAGTTAAATTACTGTCTCCGACAGTTAAATAACTGCTGGAGACAGTAATTTAGCAACGAATACAGTAATATTAATTAAAAATATTTTTTTAAGAATAAAAAAGTCAATTAACAGTTAAATTACTGTCTCCGATAGTTAAATAGCTGCCGGAGACAGTAATTTAACAGCCAAGACAGTAAAATTAATTAAAATATTTTTTTTAAGAAAAAAAAAAAAAAAAAAAAGTCAACGCCGGAAACCCGGCGGTCAACGGCCGTTGACCGACCGGAAAAAAATTTCAGGAAAACAAAATTCAAAAAAAAAAAAAAAAAAAAAAAAAAAAAAAAGTCAACGCCGGGCGGTCAACGCCGGAATCGGCCAGAAAAAAAATATTTCAGAAAAAAAATTATTTTCTGAAAAAAAAAAAAGTTTTGGGGGTTAATGTGATATATTTGTTAAAATCCGGGGTCAATGTGTAATATTAAAGAAGTTAGAGCATAATGGGTGGAATTGATACGAATTAGGGTTAAAATTGGGGTCAAAATTAAAATTTGGGTTAAAATTGGTTAATTGATGAAATTGGGCTAAATTGGGGTGTAAATCATGAAATTGGAGTTAAATTGGGTTTCAAATGAATTGGGGGTAATTTTGGTATATATAAAGGGATTTTCCTTATTTGCAAATAAGTTTGAATGGGGTGGATTTATTTGAAAGACAAAAAAGTTGGATGTCCCTATTTTAATTAAGTGCCCTTGTCATGGGCCTATTTGCCATTACCCCTAAAAGTTATTAAATTGAAAACCTATTAAGAATAATGTAAATCAATAAAAAGAAAATTGATAATGAGTTATAACTAAATTACCTTTAGAAAGTTCAGATCTTAACTTGTTCTTCAAAGAGGAAATTATTCTTTTAAAAAAAGAGGGACCAAACACACTAATTTAAGTTATAAAATACATTATATTAATACCAAATTTATTTTGGGAGGACCATGGTACCCTGGCACCGCTTATTTGTTACACCTAAGTATGAGGTGGTAATAGTTCTGGTATAATATGAATTTATGTTACACCTAAGTATGAGATTGTAATAGTTCTGGTATTATATCAATTTATGGTTGTCGAGAAGAAGTGGTCATTAACGATTACGGTCATCTTGCACATTCATCTAGTTCCTCCAAGGAATAAAGGATCATTTAGCTTAAAGTCCCTCCAAAACTATTTTTTATAGCTTAAAGTTCAAGCGTATATATTGAATTTGCTTCAAATCTTTCAGACAGTTTAGACTGAAAATAAATAACTTAAATAAAGAGAGTTGAATGAGGACTGTATTGTAGAGTGCATTTATTCATGTAGCCCGAGCCTAAGTTTTGAGTCAGCTATGTTTGGTAAGGTTTTGTGATTCCGTCTCCATTTAATTTTAGAGAAATATGTTTCGAGAGAATAATTTGAAAATAAAATAAAATTTGAATGTGTTTGGAGAAGAGACAAATTTTTACTGTAATCAATCAAATCATGTCTAAAAGGTGGTGGAAAAATGTATTTTGTAAGAAGAATTTGAAAAATAAAGTGAATTTAGTAAAAACATGTTTGTTAGAGAGAGTAACATTTTAATTTTTTTTAGAGAAACTTTTTAAACATAATTTTAGAAAAGTGATTTTATTTTGGGAAATAATGAAAAAAATTGAGAACAGTAACAAACAGAAAGAAAAGTAGACTTGAAAAGTGTTAAGCAAATTGCACCAAGAAATAAAAGAATTCAATAAAAATAAGCACCATCAAAGCAGGGATCAAATATGATTATTCTTTTCTTTTATACACTTTACTGCAAACTTTGGAGTTAAAAAGGACAAAAATTAGTAAAGCATTTACAAATAAATATAAAACAAACTTTAGCAAGAAAAAAAAAAGAAAGAGAAATAAAATTAGTAAAGGCAAATACCAAAACATGCAATGTGCAAAAATATAAAGTTGCAATACATAACACTGTGAACTGTACAGATCTTGATAAGCAGGGAGGGAGGGAGGGATCTTTCTCCAACCTGCAATTTTTTTGTGTATGATTTAAATATTCATATAGAAGCCTTTGGTCGATTTCGTCCCGACGTGCTAAACTTCCTCTTCCTAAACTCCAGATTCTGAAAATGCAGTAATTCATGAAAAAAATCGAGAGGGATAAACGAAGATCACAAATAATTTTACTTACTCGAAAAACTTGTTAAAATCAATCATTGTTTCTCGGATGTTATAAATTTGATTAAAGAATAATTGTAATTCATTAAAACGAGAAAGAACGATATATCATTGCACGTTCTTTTTTCTATTCAATTCTTTCTTATAATCACGAAATTCGACCACAAAAAAAAAACACACTGATAAATCATAAGCCGAACTAACAACTGGATTCTAGTATTATACCTTCATCAATCTTGATCTCGAGAAGCTCTTCAATGGGCTGCCGACAAACGGGACATTTATTTGATTGGAGCCTCAGCTCTTTGGCACAGTCACTGCACATACACTGCAAAGCAATAAAACAGAATCGTCACAAAATAAAATATATAATCACAAATCTCAATTATAAGATAATCAGAGATTAAATATCATGGTATCATGGAAAGTGTAATCCTAAATACTAACAACTCAATCAATCTTATCAATCCCATCAACATTCTCAAACGAGGTCATAGTTCTTCTACTTTGTGAATGGAGTCTCGATAGAATGCCAAAGGAAGAGATAGGGATACCAGAAATAGTTTTCAGAAAGAGTAGGCAAGGTTATATATTAATTAATTAATAAATAAATAAAAATAAAAATCTTTTTCAGTTAACTCATCTAACTAAATCGAAAAATCATGGTTCATTTCCTCATTTTGCTTTAGTACTTGGTCATTATTTATTTCGATATCTATTCTCTAAATAAGCAACTAAAATTAGCATATAACAATCCTTTTGCATTCTTTATTCTGGCCGGTATCTGTAGAGAATTTCATTCAAAGAGAATGAAAATTGGGATTTATTATACTTATATTCTATCTGAAGTAGTTAACAACTCTTTACTCTTCGTCCATAATTACATGAACCTCCACAATTACCAAACTTCCCCTTCTGATTCGAGTTTCAACAAAAATGATGATATCAACAACATAAATATGAAGGGAAGGATTAGTAATTACGAAACATATCGGAGACGAGTGGTTAACTAATTATGTCAAATGGGATGTTTAATTCATCAAAAGCCAAGACTTTAAGGAGACGTTCTGAAGTATGAATAGTAATTAAATGTGGTTAATTAACTAATTAACTTCTTTCATTCCGCAAACACATTATCACTTATAAATAATATTTTCATCTAAGAACAAAACCGAAAAAGATTGAAGTTAAGGTAGTTACCATGTGCCTACATGGCAAGACAGCTGTGTTCTTGACCTCAGTCAAACAAATGATGCATTCATTTCCCGAATCAACATCGTTGACAGCACCTTCATCCGCATCACTAATCCCATAAATCTCACGCAATTCATAGCGGGCCCCGTCGGTCCACAGAATCTGCTTTATTACTTTGACTTGGAAATTACCACCTTTTTTTTCCAAGACAGCCTGAGAGATCTGAGCATGAGACGCTTTAACCAGTTCGGCATCTGTACGCTCGGCTGTACTCGTAGACGGTGAAAATGACTCGGCAGATATTACGAGTGGGTAAGCGTCTTCTCCTGGAACAGGCTTTGACAGGTCATCAATGTCGAAGAAGCCCAAGTCCACACCAGTTCCTGAAGGCTGGCAGAACTTTTGTCCAAGTCCTTTTTGGAACGGAATTTTTGCAGGCACGATATCCGGATATAATGGAATAAATTTACAGTTGACTCCCTCCTTGGCAAAGTAGAAGATAGTAATACTGCAACATAATCACAAAGTATATCAGGTAAAGCCACCATCATAATTAAAATAATAACAAGTCATGCTAATAGTTTGGACAGCAAGAAACTACTGTTGGGCAATAATTTAAATAAATCCTTCATATTTAAATTAAAAAAATGATGAAATTTAAGACTAGTCTTCAAATAGTGTTCTTGGCAAGGATAAAGTTTCTACAGCTTCATAACAGTTGGACTGTTTAAATTATACAATGCAATACTTACAAACTTTGGGCTCGTTGAATTTTTTTTTTTTATGCTATTTCAGACAAACGATTAAATTCTTAATGTCCCAATTCGAGAAACAACCAGCTGTTTGGATGCTGGACGCCAAAACTTGATTTAGGAGAGATTGATTCTATGCTCGACTAAGTCAAAAAAAAAAAAAAAAAAGAAAAAACCCAAGTTTTTTCATGTCATTTCAACGTGAGTCGCGGTTAGGGAATTCTATGAAGTATTCTACTTACATTACACAGCAGTAGAACTTTATTGTTACTGAAATTCTGACATTCAAGTAAAACCTACTGAAAATGGCACGAAATGAACAGAAAAATTCTAGCAAAAGGTCACACTGGCAACAGATGGACAAAAGAAGCAAATGCGATACGAAATTATCCGAACTTTGGTAGACAGTAATTGTCCAGAATAAGGGCATGCTAATATGTTAGAGAACATCTTCCCCAGAAGATCGTGTCATGTAAACGCATTTACATGTTAAGTTTTATGCATCATACACCTTTAAGCACTCTTCCTAATAGAAGCATGCTTTTTATGTATGCTTAGTCATGTGAACAAAACATGAAACTAATAACAAAATTAACAAAATGAAAAAAACCATTCCAAAATTAACAAAATGAAAAAATTAACCAACTTTCCCCGCACGAAAAAAATAAAAAATAACAAAATGAATGATATTACCAACACCATTCCTGTTAAACAGCATAGTTTCCACTATAGAATCTAATTTTCAGAAAATACATGAGATTGAGGGGCAAAAAGGTCATATTCTTTACCCTTAGCCGTAGAATCCAATTGTCGAAAAATATCCCACCTTAAGAAGCAAACAGTAGACGATGACAATAGTAAAACAGGAGAAAAATACACCTAATAATGATTTCCAGATGTATGCAAAGTTCGGTCAGGCAACAAGTTATCCCTTTTCAACAAGTTATCCCTTTTCAGGGCAGCGTTAGTACTGCACTTGAGTCATAAGTGAAGAAGAATTGATCAAGGGCCAAACAACTTACACATTGCGCCATAAATAGTTTCATTTCTTAATATCATACCCTAAGGCCTCGTTTGGTTGACAAGATAAGATTAAATAATCTAATGAAAATCCAATTATTTTATCGGACTCTGGGACGTCCAACAAAAAAAAAACTCCCTAAAAGGCAAGATAAGCCATGATAACATAATATTTGTGGGTCGATCCGACAAGTTATTGGGGATACCAAACATCAAAGGAAGTCCAATTATTTAGTTAATAATGGCTAATCTCCCCAACCAAACGAGGCCCAAGACTCACTCCATTATCATTTAATAGTTTCATATACTTCCTCCAAAACACACACACAAACAAATAATTGGCAGTTTGTTGTTCGCATTTGAAGTTAATTTTTGGGGCTTCGGCTTCTAAAACAAGCTGCGCTCGTTTTTGTTCTTTAACAATAGTAAGAAACAAAATCTTCAGGAATCAACAGCACTCCAATATATATATCACAAATAAAATGACGAGAAATTCAAACATCTAGATTAGACTTATTTCACTAAAAACGGTGTAAGCTTCAATAGACGGCTGCATATGCACATGATCAAGATCAACTTATTTTAGCCAGATGTTTTGAATGCCTACTGTTATATACGATCCCGATCAACTTATTTTAGCCACTTCAGTTCATAGTCGGTATCAATTGACAGGTTCACACATTATTTTCGATCCTTTTCTCGGGAGTAAGTATTGATTACTGATGTTAACCAAATCAATGTTATCAAAGTCAAAGGCAAAATGAAAGAGAAACAACCACATAATTCTAATACAACGAGTAAAATATATTGTACCCCAAAATAATCGAATATGATATACCTTCCATCAACCAAAGCATCAAAGGTGAAGGTAACCACGTGGCAATCGGGGTACAGCTCATCCGATTGAAGCCTAATTGTGTCTTTATGAACATTCACATCATTCTTAATCTTCTTGGCGCTCTGATGATCCACGTAGGGGGCGGGCTGTATTAGCGGCAGCGGGGGCGGCAGCTGAGGAGGGGGCGCGGCGGGTGGGCCCCACATGTTGATTTGGGGTGAGTAATAAGGACGGTAGTTGGAGTATTGACCCATCGTATTGACGGGCCTCACATAGTAGTTGGGGTTGGAGTAGTTGTAATTGTTGTTGTTGTAGGGTTGAATGGGGAGCGACGGCGGAGGGCGGTTGGGGCATTGGGGGACGGCGGGGTAAGGGTGTTGTTCCGGCGGCGGGGTTGTAGAGTGAGGGGCGTAGGCTGCAAAAGCGTAGCTTGGTGGTTGGGACGGCGGATTGAGATCATCGTGGGGTTGCGATGTAAGTTGCGGTTGTTGTGGTGGTGGTGGTGGTGGAATCGCCGGCGGTGAATTTATTGGGGGGAACGCGATCGGAGAAGGAGGGTTTGGTGAAGAGGAAGGTGGAGGAAAAGGTGGCGGCTGCGGCTCCGATTGCCGAGGCGGCGGAGGCGGCGGCTCCAATTGCGGCGGCTGCTGTGGCTGCGGCTCCGATTGCGGCTGCGGCTGAGGATGGTGGTGGCGGCTGTGGCGGTGGAACCTTTTACTCCAGGAATTTCCCATGTTTGGGGTTGCCGGCGGGATTGGCGGTGGCGGTGGTGGCGGTGGTTGAAAGTTGTAGAATTCTGATTTGGGGTCAAATAATAAAAAAACCCCACTACTACACCACTGCAAAATCGGTTTGAACTTGTCTCCAAATGAAATTCGATGCTTATTAGGCAAATAAATTTGGAATAATTGTTTTTTTTATTTAATTTAATTATTTATTTTATTATTTAATTTATGTTTTGGTGGGGTTAGGTTAGGTCAATATTTAACATCTAGTCCTTTTTAGAAATATATTTTATACATGTATTAGTAATAAAATAATAAAATTGATAAATAGTGGTGTTTCTATTTGATTTCATAGGCGTTAGACATACATTACTTTTCTATATAGAATAATCTTTATTAGAAAATACTTTTAAATTAAATAGTAATTTTGCAATGACTTGGTCAAAATTTTGATTTTCGTTTTTTTTTTTTTTTTGTATAATAGCATCAATACCTTAATTCTTAAGGAAATTTTGGAGAAACCTCCCTCACTAAGCATCTTCCATCTTTAAGACTATATTTTAACCAAATACTTTTTTCGATGGTGAGAAAATGAATTTATCTTCTACCCGTAATATACTATTTTACAGTTTTTGGTAACAAATAGTGTATTTGGTCTCCGAACAATTCTATCAAATTTTACACCAAATAATAAAACATTACCATTTTGCCATTAATAAAGAGTAGGGTTGGGTTTGATTTTCCATGTCATACTCATTTCACAAAATGTATCACAAAATGTTATAAATATAATTTTAATCGTAAATTTACCCTATTTTATTTCCAAAAAATGATTATAGTTCTGGTTTTAAGTAATAATTGTATTGACTATATAATTAAGTTGTGATAAATTTCAAAAACTTTTGAAACATGAATTAAATAAAACTGAAATTATTATACATATAATCAAATCACCCATAAACAATAATTTCATAAATGAAACGTTACAATATAAATTTATCATAAAAACGATCCTACATTTTGTTTGGCAAAATAAATTATTTCATTGATAACTTTGAAGATCACACGAGTCCCATTAAAACCTTGTTTTAAAAGCATAAAATAAAATGTTTACTAGTTTTTTAAAACCTTGGGTTGTTTTTTAATGATTAATTTTTTCTTAATTACACAACTTAAGTGACGGGACGGATTTACCCCTGCAAATCTCACATTTAACGCACATGATTTAACATTTCGTCCAAAATTGTGGGAAAATTGAGTTTAGGGGGCATCGTGCAACGAATTAACGAGTTTAGGTAAATCCGTGTAAAGATTTTTTGTTAGAGGAGCAAAGTGCAATACGACCATCTGTTTGAGGGGTGTCATTTAACATTATTATGATCATCATGACTAGGGCTGTGCATGGATCGGTTTTAACCACCAACCAACCCATTTTCGACCCATAATTTGTGATGGTTAATCAACCATCAACCGACCCATTTAAGTTGGGTGGATAATGTCAACCAACCCATGTATAGTTGGGTCGATAATGGTTTCTAATATGCTAAAAAGTTGGTTAGTCGGTTAATATCGGCCAACCAACTTTATTCATTAATTTATTATTTATTAATTTTAATTAAACTATTTAACATTTTTAATTTCAAATTTCTATTTTATATCACATTTATTAAATTGTTTAATATTGACCAAAATCCTAAAATCAATAAATCTAACCTAATTATCTAATTTGAACTATTTTAATTTTAAGACATAGAGTCTAAATATTTGGACGATTATTATTTGTTGAACTATTTATGTTTAATTGCAATATATATGCCCGTAATGTTTTAAATCTTTTATTTGAATATTATTGAACTAGTGACATTTAATTTATAAAAGATAGAACGTTGTAACAAGTAATAAAATATTAAAAAAAATTAAAAAATATTTAGATGGATAACCCATCAACCAAACCACCAACCAACCCATTAAATTGGTTTTCAACCATCACCCAACCCATGTAAGTTGGGTCGATAACGGTTTCCAATATTTACCAAAGTTGGTTGGATGGGTTGGGTTGGTTTTATGACTGGTTTTTAACCAAACCAACCAACGCACAGCCCTAATCATGACTAGGGGTGCAAGTTGGAACGGAATTTCCAATTTTCGCCGATTACGATCCGAAAAGTTCCGGTTTTGGAATAACTTTTTTCATTCCGACTTCCGAAATCCCGATTTTCGAATTTTTTCGATTTTTTTGAATTGGAATTGGAATTATATAAAATAAATTTGGAATTTCCGATTTCCGATCCGATTTAATTCCGAAATTAATTCCGAAAAAATCTGATTTTTTTCCGAAAAATACACCTATAAATAATATATATTATATAATACTTATTTTCCGAAAAATACACCTATAAGTTTTGTTTTTGGATTTTGACATAATGAATTGTTATTAGAAGTTTTATTGGATATTACGTTGTGTTTATTTTTATTTTTATTTTTGAACTGAATTTTAGTAGTTATTAGTTTTACTTTTATCGCCGTGAATTTTCTTATTTTTGAAAAATTATGAACATTATAGAAATTTTCGGCTAAGTTTTGAAATTTTAAAGCTTACGTGATTTCTGATTTTTTTTCCGAAATTCCGAAATTTCCGGGCCTTTTGGAATTGGAATGAACTTTTAGATTCCGAAATTTTTGGAATTGGAATTGGAATTGATTTTGTACTTCCGAATTTTTTTGGAAATTTTCCGAAAAGGTTAATTCCGATCCGATCCATCCGACTTTCACCCCTAATCATGACCATCATTATCTATCTGATCACGTTTATCTTACAAATATGCTACCAATCTTCTTTTTAGTTTATGTTTTCCTTGATTTCGATGTTGATCAAGAAAACTAACATATTTCATATTATTTAAATCTTTTGAAAGCTCATGAAGCGGGACAGTAGGGTGAAGTTTCATAATCAAGATTGTCATTTAGATATCCACTTCGTTCTTCCTCAACTATCATATTGTGTATAATAATTATGCAAACGTGACTTCATGTAACTCTTCTTTCTTCCAAAATCAAGCCGCTCCTCTTATAATTGCAAACCGAGATCGAAGAGCTCCAAATGTCCGTTCTATATCTCTGCGATAGGATTCATGTTTCTGCAATTTACTCTATATTGGTTCTTTTTTTCTTTCTCTTTTTTTAAATCATTGTTGTATTTTTTAAATTTTTTGTGTTAATCACTTGGTGTATTTTTAGTTTTTCGATAGTATTTCTTTTCGTAGTGCAAAATGTCAAATTAAACTTTCATTTCCTTTCGCAGCGGACTAATTTTCAATTTGCAAAGTGGAAAAGATAAACAAAATATAACTAAATTATGTAGAAATTTATATTCAAAGATGTCACATGTCAAAAAATTATGAGGGTTTAATGTTGTGTACTTTTTCCTTCAAAAAATAAATAAATTATAATTGTAATTTTTTTAATTTGTTTTGACATGTTTTTAGGCTGAAAAAACGGACTTTCATATTTTGACATTTTGTTAGTACTAGACTACTAGTAAACATTTTATTTTTGGCACTTGTGGCCTATTTAGATCTTCTAGAATCTATATTGTGTTGATTTTGATTTATTTAAAAACTGATAGAGCAATGTGCAATTATTTGTAACTTCGTAGCTTGTATTGTAGACTGTTGGATTTAGTATTTTTTTTTTCTGGTAAAGAAGAAACTCGCATCCAACCATATATGTACTGTATTCTCGTAATTTTTGCCAAGATACTCCACTTGTCAAACAATCGCAACTTTGTTCTATGCTATATTCGATAAACGCGCAACCACATTCAATTTTAATATTTTTATTTTTCTAGTAAACACATGCCTGGACGATCACGTATGATGCCCGATTTGTTACTTAGGATTCAAAGAGAGATGCAAATTCGAGTTTAGACAATACAATTATACGAACTACTAACCATGACTATCAAAATCCAAAACGACATCACTAACAATTTTAAGTTACACAACGACAATTTTAAGGTCCCACTTCAAGACAACATATGCCAATTCAAGTTAAAAAGAAAATGAAAAAAAGAAAATCGAAAAATTTGCACCTCGATAACGTGGCTCAAAACATGCAGCACTACTTTAAAAAGGTTACAGTGATAAGAATAATACAGAAAATTGATTTCTTAAACTCATACCTTATAGTAGTATATATTAGCCGAAGGTTGACTTTTTTCGCCCGAGTGTCTTAAATGCGATTACGGTTAGTTTTCACTTTCAACTGCTTTTATTGTCTTTCCCACAGCACCTTCAGATACAAAGCTTATAAGACAAATCAAGTGTAATAAAAACTAAATTTTTAAATAGATTTTCAGTTGGCAAAAGTTGCGGAAATTAGGGAGTGAAATAATTTACTGAAACCTATTTCAACCTAAACTTTATTGGATATGCATAATAGAAAGCCCGATTAATCATACACAAACAATGACTGCAATTTACGGATAAAAGGAAGGGCAAATTGTACATCACTCCCCTGTAAATATCTAATTTTCGCACTTTACCCCCTCAAAAATTTTAAAAGTGAATGTCCGTCCGCTTTCAAAATGTTATTCTTGTTGCACATTGCCCCGATAGCAAAACTCCGATGGATTATTCATCGGAATTGAGTATTTTTGTTGCACGTTGCCCCTTTAAATGTTATTTTTGTTGCACATTGCCCCTTAAAACAATACTTTTTTGCACATCGCCCCTTTAAAATGTTATGTTTATTTCACAATGCCCTCAAAAAATTGGCTTCTGGGGCGAAGTGCAACCAAAATAATATTTCGAAGGAGGAGTATCCCTTGTTTGAATTTTTAGGGAGGAAAGTGCGAAAATGGGAAATTTATAGGGAGTGAAGTGCATTGTGTCCAAAGGAATTAGTCCGATTAATAGTACTCCAACTCGTTTTGCATTTCTAGTATATGAAAAGAAAAGGACGTACCTTTTATACAACTTTTTGGAACCACAGGGGCAGGGGGAATTTCGACTTATTTGTCCACTTTTAGCCATGTTTAATCGTGCAACGTCCAAGGGGGACGACCCCATCAATTTCTGAACCTGCAATAAAATGATGACTTCACAACTCGATAATCTTTGAATAAATGGGAAACAAAGAAAACTAAATAAAGTGGCATTGATAAAAAAATTCAAGTTAATCTTTGAAAGTCGATTCTTGGATAGGAATAATCAATTAGTTGGTCATGTGATGGTGGCAACTGGCAAGAATGCTGCAGAAAACACATGGTTTGTTTTATACTAAAATGTTTCATGGAAGTGATTTAGAATGTATCACCTCCAACTGAACCATGCTAAAAATGAAAATTCGGTACGTAAAGAGTTCGAACAAAAAAAAAAACTGGAATTCGGTTTTTAATTGTCAATTTTGGATACTGATATTTTATCTTTATGTATTGTTATATATCATTGTATGTACATATTTGTTTTTATATATAATATAATATTGAAACAAAAGAATCGAAAAATGTGTCAGTATTTCGTCGCTAGCTCCCGAGACGATACTCAATGGAGTTAAAACGGAGGTCATAATTAAATCTGGCACATAAATAATATTCTAATAGCAAAATAAAACCATAGAAGGATTTTGAAAGAACGGGATATAGTGCATTCTGATGGAATACCTCTGATAAGCTCTTGGGCATCGGTTTGCCCTCTGCTTTAAGTTGATCCATCTTTTTCTGTGCTTCTTTTGCCCATGTAAACTTTGCGAATGCACTTTCAACGACTAATATCGTGCAGTTACATTGTTTTGCTGCATCCATCTTTTGACTAATTTGAATGTTCTACAGCAAATAGAAACAAAAATGAATGTGAGTACCACTAAAGTACGACTTGACCTTTCAACTTTCATCTCCTAACTTATCGAAAGAGCAATAAATTTGCTAACTACTAACAATTTTGCAATGTTGAATGACGAAGATTAGCAAAAGATAAACTAGTCTACGTACAACCAACTGAGAAAATTCCAGTGATGTGAACCATAGCCCTTCCGAAAAAAGCATGATTGACAGACATCAGTGCATGAAACGAGGAATTAATTGGTAAATAGCTGAACCAACGTCTAACTATCGAATTTGTCATTCACGAGATAATTAGGGAACTTAAAACCATAAACTTTCTTCATTCATGTAACACAACTTAAACTCTTGTTTTGATATGTGCACCTATCATTTACTATTCTTATGTTCCATCAACTATGAGCAATCTAACTCTTTCCACACTGTTCTTTCCCTTGATTTCTTCCAATTTTAAAAACTCTAGGGTAAATTACGGTCACACCTGAGGTAAGGTCAAAGTACGGAAAAAACCTCTTATGTTTGGATGATTATAATTTAAAACCACCTCTCAAGTATGAATCTTCTTACACGTCCAATCTTACGGTGTCAAATTTAGTGGAATCTTCTAGATTAAGTGGAATACTTTCCAGTTTGTACCCATTTTACCCATTAAAGTTCCACATTTTGTAACAAGATGATCATACGACGTGTATCTTGGCTTGTAAGTATCAGATTGTAATGCATCAGAAACTACATTTTTGCACAAAACGAGTACAAAATAAAGAACATTTCACGGAATCTAGAAAATTATGTTGAATTTGACACCATAAGGGTAGACGTGTATTATAATTACCCAGACATGAGGGTTTTTTTTTTCGTAATTTAACCTTGAGGTGACCGTAACTTACCCAAAACATTATACATGTAAAACGGAAATTTGCTTCTTTTCTTTTTTCACAAAACAAAGCTTCAGATTTGAGCTATTTCTAAAGAAAATCAATTCCAATAAAATCCAGTTAAAAAGAGAAATGTTGAAATTGATGATGCAAATAGCAAAAGGAATTTCAATAGTGAGAGAGAGAGAGAGAGAGAGAGAGAGAGAGAGAGAGAGAGAGAGAGAGAGAGAGGCGCTGCGAACCTCACCAGTAGGATCCAAACGCCCTAGGTAACGAATTACGGCTTCTTGCTTCTCAAACGCATCGGCGAAAGTGGCGTCGCTTCTCCTCCCTACTGCAATCGGCTTCAAACCTTCCAATTTCCTTGCTTTTCTCATCTCATCCGCATATCCTGCTCACCTTTTACAAAATCAAAAATCAAAAAAAAAAAATTTGACAAAAAAAAAAGAGAGAGAGATCGGCGGCAGTCACATTATTATGGGCGGAAAAATTACTGACGGAGAAGAGTGAACGATTTGGGGGAAGACTCGCCGGTGAAGAATCCTTTCATTTTGTCGATCCATGATGAGCTGAGACTCGCCGTGGTGGAGATGCAACGGCGGCGGCTGGTACGGTGGTGGGATGAGAGAAGCAATCGGAGCATTGGTTTTTTTGGGTGAATTTGCAAAAATGTCCCTAGAAAGAAACTGAATTTAATTAGGACACGAAATATTAATATTTGGTTTAAAGACCCTTCACATGTTCATTTTAACAAAACTACCCCATATTTTGTTTTTTGTTGAGAAAATGTATCTGTGTGCGCGCAATTAATGGAACAATTTTAGGGTAAATTACGAAAACCCCTTTGAACTTAAGCTAAATAATGATAAGTACCCCCACATATCTGTAATAACCAAAATCCCCATCTGATTAACTGTTGATCGAGTTTTTTAACAAAAATGTGTACAGCCTATTATACTTTCTGTTAAATAGGTGAGAAATAAGAGAAAATATTTGAAATTGTGTAAACTCTATTCCGTGGAGTAAAAAAATTCCGTGAAAAGTCACACTATAAGGGTTGGTGTAAGACGTAAACAAGCATTAGAGTTTTTTTGTTAATTACAAATAGGTGAGGGTGTTTTTCGTTATTTAACCTAGTTCAGGAGGTTTTCATAGTTCACCCACAATTTTATTGATCACAAGAACAAAGGTAGATTTACAGAGAAGTCGAATACAACATGGTTAGATAAACAATCACTCGTTATTTATCTCCAATGAGGAAAACAATCACTCATTTCTCTCGTAGAGTTTTCTCTTTGATTTTTCTATCATTAAGGTGTTTATTGTGTTTAGTAAATTTTGACATTGATCCAATTCGAATTTGAAGAAAATGGTAGACATGAAAGTTGGATTTCAATCTCAACTCGAATCACTGGAACTGGAATTTTGGATAATTTTTTATGTTCAAAATTGAATAATGGTAACTAATACACCGACTCTGCTCAGTTTTTCAAGAATTTAATGTGCGTTTGTAAAATATTTACTGTGAATTTTGACTCTAACCAATTCGAGTTTTAAGAAAGTTCACTGTGCATTTGTAAGACGATTAATGTAAATTTTGACACCGAACAAATTTGAATCTACAAGCATAAAGTTGTAGCTCAATTTGTTGTCTTTCCAACCCAACTTAAATTATTGAAATTGGAATCCCAACGAAGAAAATTATGATGAAAATGGTGGACTAGTACAACATAATATGTTGAAATCAAAATTAGTCCGCCTAAAGTACGTGGAAGTTATTGGTACTTGATAGTAGTCAGAGATCTGTTTATAAGTTGAAACACAATCCCACGTTTTTTTCGATGTGAGATGGAGGTGTTACACATATTCTTGCGTGGAATTGTAATCATGAACATAAAAAAGTGGAAAAAAATATATATATGCCAAATTTACACCTTCGAACAACGATAAATACACTTTATTCTCACATTTCACGCACTCGTAAAACTTAAACCAAAAAAAAACAAAGGGAAAAAGGATGACAATTGATATAGCACATATGAAAATATGTAAACTTTCTGCAAAAATATAAAATTGCAAGTATGAAAACTGTATATATCCTGATGAATAAGTATCATTCTTCCAGACTGACTTTGGTCACTGTATGCAAAAACAAGACAGAACAATATTAGTCTTGCACCCTTTTGGCATTTGACATTTCATTCATAATAGATACAGTTTATTGTATTTACTACCCGTCTTGTATCGAATTTTTAAAAAATCGCCCTAACAAATATTAAAATTAGCGAAAAATTCCATACGATGCATTTCTCCGGAACGCAGCTTCCTAAATAGTGAGTTTTTATGGTGGTTTACTAAAACAAACTGAATTATAGAGTGGTGTTTGCTAATATTAATAACTCGTACGGAGAGTTTTTACAATTTGAGCAAACACGAGGGTGCTAAATGCAATAAACCCCTGATAAATATATATACAGTTAAACCTCTATAAGTTAATAAAGTTGGGATTAACAAAATTCTATTAACGTAGCGAAATATTAAATTATCAAACTAATAATATAATATATTTTTATCAAGTCGAGACCGAGAGAAATTATAATTTAAGATAGGTTATTAATTTATCGAGGTTCTAATGTATGTCAATAAATCATAAGCCTTTTAATTGTCTTCTATTATTTATTACCTTGGTAAAGTTGATCTCCATAAGCTCCTGAATAGGCTGCCGGCATATTGGACACTTGTTTGATTTCAGCCTCAAATCTTTGGCACATTCACCGCACATACACTGTAACACACACAAAAAAAAAAGGTAAATTACCAAAAGCGCCCCTGAACTATGTTTTAATTATGAAAAAACCCATCATGTATTCATAATTATCAAAAAATCCCTCTAACTACCGTTTGACCAAATGTATTAAATCAAATGTCTATAATGCCCTTAAGCTAAATAAAATTTAAAAGGTCATAAAATTACAAAAAACCTCTGGATGTATGATCAAATTACCAGAAAACTCCTCATGTTGTATTTTTTTTTTTTTAGTAATTCAAGTCATTACAAGGAGAAGTAGGGGACTTCCCCTTATAATGGAGTTGAATTTACTCAAAAAAAAAAAAAAAAAGGAGAAGTAGGGGAGGCGGGACTCGAACCCTAGACTTTTTACCCTATTGGTAAGGTTAGACACCGACTCTCCTAATGAGGGTTGGTCCATATGTTGAACTCTGACCTTATATTTTTTGTCAAACGAATTTTTCAGTGACATTACTACGATTTTTCAGTGACATTTCGACGACTTTCAAATGACTTTTTCGGTGACATTTATAATATCAATGACCAAATTTTCTTGATTCCCATCCAAAAGTTCGGATTCTGGAATACATTTTTGCATTCCAAATTTAAATTTTTTATTTCCGTTTTTTTCTCGGATCAACTAAAACAACTCAATTCCTTCCTTCGAAAAAAAAGAGGAGTTTTAAGGTACATACCATGTGCCTACACGGCAAGACAACCGTGTTCTTGTCCTCGGCAAAGCAAATGATGCACTCGTTTTCCGACTCCGCATCGCTAACCGAAGCTCTATTCGTACCACTACCGCCGTATATATCATGCAACTCGTAGCAGACCCCACCGGCCCACAAAATCTGCTTAATTACTTTCACATGAAAAATCTTCCCATTTTTTTTCTCCAACACAGCTTGAGTGATCTGAGCATTATTATTAGTAGACGACTGCGCTAATATTACGAGCGGGTAAACGAATCCTCCTAGGGAAGCCTTTGACAGCTCATCAATATCAAAGAAGCCTAAGTCTATACCGGTTCCTGAAGGCTGGCAGAACTTCAGTCCGGGCCCTTTTCTGAATTGAATTTTTACGGGATTAATCTCCGGGTGTATTGGAGTGAATTTACACTCGTCTCCCTCCTCCGCGAAATAGAAGATTGTGATACTGCAATTTATAACCATAGTTACATGCATCAGTTTATTTACTCTTAGCCAAAGGCTGGTTATCATAAAACGTAAAATGTTTCTTCGTATCAGAAAATGTTACAAAATTACAAAATTGATATGGACTGAATTGAATATAAGATCCAAGGCAATTACCATATTACTGAATTTTATATCAACAGAAAATAAAATAGACACTCAAAACAATATTCGGAAGAAAATTTGATAACGAAATAGCTGAAGAATTATTTTTTTTTCGTGAAATATTGTTTTGTTATAATTTTTAAATACCACTAAAAATATTAAATTACCTTTAATTATTAGCTTTAAAAACTCATGTGGGGTGCAATATGCATGATATATTGTGTTTTCGAGGGTGAAAAGTACTATTAATTTGTTTCGAGGGTGCAAAGTGCCAAAATTTTATATTTCAATGATGCAAAGTGAGATTAAGCACAAATTAAACTAACATTAATGACAGATTAAAGAAGTAACAAAAAAAAAAGAAAAATACAAAGGGGTAGTTTTGTCAAATAAAAAGATCTTCAAAATCAAGGCTTTATAATAACTTTCTTAATTAGTGTGCATTAACCTTAAACGAAACTTAAAAAGAAACGGAGAGAGTAATAACTTATCCGGAGTCGGGGCCCGAAGAAATTGTTATTTAAACGAGGTTATAAATTTATCGAGATTCTACCGTACATGTTCGAGTATCACCTTCGAACGATCAATACGAACAATAATTCGCTCGATTCGACTCGAACAAATATGGAGAAAAAAAAAAGTGAAAACAAATGAAATACCTTCCATTAACCGAAGCATCAAAAGTGAAGGAAACCAAGTGGCAATCAGGGTAAAATTCATCCAATTGAAGCCTAATTGTGTCCTTATGAACATTCACATCATTAGTGATCAACTTGGCTCTTTGTAGTGGCGGCGGTGGCAGCTGAAGAGGCGGCGCAGAGGGTGGACCCTGACCACTAGTTTGACTCATCGGTCGTATTAACTGTAATTAGAGATGTTTTAAATGTAGTTGTAGGGTGGAAGAGGAGGCGGCGGGATATCGGTGCTGCTCCGCTGGCGGCAGAGTAAGCGGCGTTGCCCTTGCCGGCGATGGGATGGAATGGAAGTGCAAATCGGTTGAAGTTTTCTCGCACGCAATTTTTTTTTGAAAACATCAAAACAAGTATAACTTTATTTATAGTATTGACTTTATTTATTTATTTTTTAGAATAAATAACGAAGTATTGACTTAAGAAAAGGTGTGTAGCAAGCATTGTGATGTCTCTAATTGACTTAATTTTACTTTGCACCCTTAAAATATAGTCGTTTGATATTTTATGCCCTCGAGAAAATTAATAGCACTTTACATTCTTAATAAACGAAATAAATCATTTATAATTCACCCCGAATAATTTTTGAAAGCTAATAAATGTAATTTAATATTTTTAGTGGTATTTCATTAGGATGCCGAATCAAAAATATATATCCATCAATCCTTTTTCGAAACTATAAAGTGAAAAAAACACATCTTTTATCAACATATTTAAAAATTATATCTTTTATCACAAAAATATATTTTACTTAAAAAAAGAAAAGAAGAAAAGGAAAAAAAATTCCTTATGCTATTTTGTCATCAAGTTATTAGAAAATTATATTTTATTACCAAGAGTTATATAAAATATTTTCACCATCTACAATAATAAAATCTATCAAACGAATAATTTAGTTACAAAAAAGTTATTGTTCTTTATTTTTTGAAAAAATATAGTTTTTGCAATAATTTTGTGTTATTTTTATCTTTCTCACTTTGTAAGTTAGAAAATAGATGGCATGTAAAAGAAAATAATAATTTAATTAGTAATTTTGCACTCTAAAAAAAAAAGACGAACAAAATATGAAATTGTCTGCATTAAGTTTTAAATATTCAATTCTAGGTACATTAAGAATGATTTTTTTTTCTTTTTTTTTTTCCTTGTGTTTCAAGGGTGCAAAGTACCATTAATTTATTTCAAGGGTGCAAAGTGCTAAATCACTAGATTTCAAGGGAACGAAGTGAGATTAAACATTTCTAATTACTTCTTCAAAACAGAGTCCTCTAAAACAAGTCTATATTTCCAGTTGGTTTTTTTGAAAGATTCAGTTGATTTAAATCTCGGGTTTTCCGGTTTCCGGATTTCGGATTTTGGGTTTTCGGTTTTAGTTTCAATTTCGTTTTAAATACTTCCCATTTTAAGTCAATTCCAAATTTCATTTCATTTTAAATTATTCAATCCAAATGGCACCCTAAAAGGGTTATTTCATCATTATCAATTTTATTTGACAAATCCATGTAAACAAATAAAACACTTATTTTACTCCTAAAAATCTTGCATTTCAAAAATCATAATCTCATCATTTTTTTTATCCTATTAGCAAAATTAAAATGAGCAATCCTACTTGAAAGATCCACTCTATTCTAAATAAGAGCCACATTACCAAAAAATCGTTCGTCTCGGAATTTATTGAATGGAAGGTTGGATTTCCGCAGCTTTTTTGAAGCTCTCTTCGAGTGGCGTAAATTTGCCCATATTAGTTACAATTGATTTTGGTCCTTCAACTGCTTTTGTCCTTCCCACAACACCTTCAAATACCAAAAAAAAATTAATAATAAATAAATAAATAAATTATAATAATAAAATAAAATCGAGACATCGAAGTGTAGTCGAAACTAAAGTTTCGATTGATGAAAAAATGACTGCAATAATTAGAGAAAAAAAGAAAATTTAGAGACTAGTTAAAACTTAAAACACATGTTGGGTTGACTGTGTATTGTGCAATACATGTTTTCATATATGTGTAAGCAGATATTGAAATGAAGTATCTATATACAGATGACAATCACAGATTAGACACAAAAGTGGACCCAGAGGACCTCGATAAATTAATAACCTCGCTTAAATAAAAGTTTTTCTTGGTCCCAACTCGGTGAGAACGTGTTAAATGATTAACTCGATAATTTAATAATTCGCTAAATTAATAGAATTTCTCTAGTTCCGACTGCATTAATTTATAGAGGTTTAACTGTACAAAGTACCTTACTTTTTTTGTAGGATTACGAGCTGGATATATTGTAACTATGAAATTGCATACCACTTACGACATTCTTTAGCCTGCTCAAATAATGTACGACTTCGAATTCGGCTAAGACCGAGTAAATACCTTTTATACAACTTCTTAGAGCCACAGGGGCAGGGGGCGTTCCGACTTATTTGGCCGCTCTTAGCCATGCTCGATCGTGCAACATCCAAGGGTGACGACCCCATCAATTTCTGAATCTGCAGTTAATAATGCCGTCACAAGTTAATAATTGAGAATAAATTAATAAAAGAAAAAATAAAACACCAAAGACATAAAATGCTCTCTTTCTTTCGTCATTTTCTGGAAAGTTGATCAAGTGTAGCCATTTAAGTGGCAACCAGATAATCAAGCATCACGACAACGTTCGGATTATAAATTTAAAAGAAAAATAATAATGACAAGGAAATTAGTAAAAAATTGGGAACCGTAAACCTTTATTTGATATAAGAAGAAAAATAAAATTAACTGAATTCTTTCGCATTTTATTCCAAATTATTTTATCTGTATCAACTTCCAATAATTCACTCTCTTTTGCATTTTCTTTCTTCCTAAACACTAAGCCCTTGATACTATTATCGCAAAATCTTGCTTTGTACCAGCATGTACTGATTATTGGGATCCTGACCGATGAAATTATTTCTTGATGAAAACTCTTTGTGAATCCCAAACAAACGAGGTCAGAATTTTAATTGACCGACAAATGAACATAAGAGGAGAAAGTTTTGCCGAACTCATTAAAGTTCAATTATAAAAAAAAATTAAGAGACGAAAAGAAAATGGATGATGGTTAGATGATTCTCAGGCAAATAGGAACAGCCATGAAATTAAACTACAAATCAGTTCTTTGATACGAGTAATCAATTAGTCGGTCGCACTTTGCGCCTATGAGCTAATTGGTCACGGGTTTGAGTCATCCGAACGGGAATCAAGGAACCAATAATTATCCTCGTTAAAAAATAGTTCATCATGTGATGGTGGCAAGAGTAATTCGGCTCTCATTACTTTGTAAATATTATAATTAAATGACAGAAAGCAGAAAATACAAGAAGGCCCTATGTGGAATTAATTTGTAAAATAATGTTAATGAGTGCTTTCTGGGGGGATTCTGTAAATCTGGATAAACTTCGTCGGAGATCTTTGTAAATTTCGATAAACCGAAGTCCTAAGGGATTTTACAAATTGCTATTTAGCAAAACAATGACATCTGTTTTCCTATTTCCCTCGCCAGCGAAAATTCTCTAAAAACATAAACATAATCCATCACAATTACACAAAATAAAGTCGAACAGAAGTTATAAAACGCGGCACAAAAACATCATAGCAGCAATTGTATATAAAAAAAATGACAGTGAATTGTGATGAATACCTCTCCCAAGTTCTTGGGCATTGGTTTGCCCTCGGCTTTAAGTTGTTCGATCTTTTTTTGTGCATTTTTTGCCCATGTAAACTTTGCCAAGGCATTTTCGACGTCTAATATCGTGCAATTACAGTGCTTTGCTGCATCCGTCTTTTGACTGGTCTGAATGTTCTGCAACACACAGAAAGAAAAAGGAAAGTGGGTTACCACTCAAGTATACCAATGTATTCGGAAATAACTTCCATCACATAATTTAGTAAAAGAGCTATTTAGCGGGTGGATAGTTTGAAATGCTAAATGCTGAATATAAAAGCATAAAAGAATAGTAAAATATACAAAACCCGACCAAAAAAATATTATAATGTAAACCAAAGGCCTTCAGCAAAGTGCATAATTCACAGACAACAGCACATGTAACAGAAGATGAATTGCTAATTGGCTGAACCAACACCTAATTATCGATTTTGTCATCACGAGATAATTGTGGGAACTGATAATCATAAATTTACTTCCTAAAAGCTGCTTTTCGCAACATGCCAATTTTTTTAACTTCAAAACTTCAATTTGGAGCCGTTTTTTTTGCATCACTGCACTATTTTCAAGAAAAAGTTCTACGGAGATGCTGACACACAATAGGTCAAAATGGATTCCATGTGATCTTTAATTATTAAATAATAAAAAAAAATTATGTTCACAGTAATATCTGGAAGAAATTTATCCACCTTAAAAATGTCTATATAAAATTCTTGAAAAGATTGGCAGATGGTCAACGCAGAACTCTAGTCAAGATAATATCATGTCAAGCAGCCTTTCTGGATTCTCGGATAAGTTCATAACTTAACTAATGATTAGAGCTTTTTCTTCGATAATAAACGCAACTTAAACTCTATGTTTGATATGTCTACCTACTGCTCTCTATATTAGCTCCATACAATACGAGCAACTTCAATATTGTCCTTCCCCTCGAATTCTTCAAACTTCTAAAATGTTATACATCTAAAATGGGAAAATTTCCCCAATGGTTTCCTACAGTAAATAACCGGTTATAGTAAAACAACTAGTAAGCAAAAATAAAGGAGCATTCGACACAAAAAATTAAAAATAAAATTGTTGATCGAACTCATTAAAGATAGTGAGCCTGTACAAAAATACAGAAAGAAGGCCTTTGTTTCTAACAGGAAGATTGAGAAACTAAATTGAAAAAAATACTACTTGTGCTAGAATTCAGATAAAAAAAATTCCTAATTAGAGTTGCAACATCAACCACATTCTTCCAACCCTAAAATTCATACGAGTCAATTTCAGTAAAATTCAGTAACTAGAGAAGTACTACTATAAACAACAACATAAAGTTTTTTTTTTTTTTTGGGTAATTAATTAATTAATGAATTGGGAGATGAGAAGAGAAGAGAGACCTCCCCAGTAGGATCAAAACCGCCTAGGTATCGAATAATTGCTTCTTGCTTCTCAAATGCATCGGCGAAAGTTGCTTCACTACCCCTCCCTACTACATACTGCTTCAAACTCCCCAATTTCCTCGCTTTTCTCATCTCCTCCGCAAAACCTATTTCGTATTTTACCAAAATCAAAAAAAATTAACAATCTGAATTTTACATGATTACGAGGTGGAGAAATCACTTACGGAGAAGGGTGAAGGATTCGGCCGATTCGGCAGAAGATTCGGCGGCGGCGGCGGTGGTCTTCTGGCCGGTGAGAACTCCTTTCACCTTGTCCATCCATGAAGCGCTGAGGCTCGCCGTGGAAGAGATGCAGCGGGCGGTGGATACATCGAGGTTGTAGCCGCCGGCACGGCGGCAGTGGGCTGAGAGAAGTAATCGGAGCATTTAAGTTTACTTATTATACAAATGCGGCTCCAGGTTTGAACCATTTTTGAACTCCAGAAGCATGTAATGTTATGTATATTGCACTTTGGCCCTTTTACTATACTATATGTACTATATGTAACTTTTAAGTGAACCTTTTTTGAAATGTTAGTGTTAGCCCTAAATATCAAGGTTGTAAAAAGCGGTATTCGGGTTGGATAGACATGGCCACGGGTCGGGTCTGACCCGGACCCGCCCCGGACCCGACCCGGCGATCGCCCCGCCCCGCCCCGTTGACCATGAACCCGGACCCGGACCCGAAAATATATGGGTCGGTTTCGGGTCCCGATATTTTGGACCCGAGACCCGACGGGTCCACCCGGCGGGTGGACCCGAGGACCCGGACCTGAGGACCCGACCCGAGGACCCGTCGGGTCCACCCGAATAAAAAAATATTTTTTTTTTCAAAATTCAAAAATGCAATGGCTAGAAACCGGACCCGAACCGGACCCGACCCGGATCCGGCCCGGACCCGGTCCGAGCATTCAAATTTGCACTTTCCGTTGGGAAAATTACACTTTCCGTCCCTCATATTTGCACAAAATTCACGTTTTGTCTCCTATGTTCCAAAAAATGATCCCTCAAGTTACCACAATTTTACAATTTTAGTCCCCTCCGTCAATTTATCGTTAGTGGGTAGTGGAATAAAGCACGTGCGCAACAAGTGTGCCGTTTCTCTCCAAATTAGGTCAAATGTATGAGTTCAATATCATTTCCCCTCTTTCACCTAACATTAAAAAACTCACGGCCCTAATTTCTCTCCCTCATTCATTCGATTTCAACAAAATTTGGAGATTTTCTTTACCAAAATCCGTACTTGAGGGAAAACATAGGTACTCAGTTCTACAACATCGAGTCGTAGCGGCTATGATCGATGTTTTTGTTTCTAGAAATGAAATCAGTCCACTGGAAAGTCTAATTTGTAAGTATGGAAGTCAGCTTCATGTAGTCACCTCTTGGAGTGATGTCAATCCAAGAAGAAGGTTTCGTGCATTTCCAAACTATAAGAGCAACTCCAATAGTTGTGCTAAATTTATCACTTCTTATCAAATTATACACAATAAATAGCGTTTTAGTACACTACTTTTTCTGACTCATAGCAGTGATTGTTTATATTTTAACATAGGGATAGAAAAAAAATTACCAATTGCCAAGTACCACGGTATGCCAACCAAAGATTACCGAAAAAAATATCAAACTGGCAGTTACCATTTCATTCGATACGGTATTGGTACCGTACCGCAAATGGTTGGTACAGTAGTGGTATTGCATTCTCAATGCTATGTGACGTCGTAAAATTAATTGTAATGTTTGACTCAATAAATGTATGAAGACGTTAAAATAATATAAATTTATATAATTACGAAATTCATTTGCGGATAAACAAGATTTTTTTTATAAAATTCTAGCTTAATACAAGATGATGGTAGAATACCATGTACCATGGTATCGTACCAAAAGTAACAGTATACCAATGTCACCCCTATTTTAACACATCACTTTAAAACAACATTTTTGACATCACTATTTATTCCAATATATTTTTTAATACATAATTTTACGTTTTATTATTATATTTCATATATTTGATGATATAATAAAAAAATTAATTTTGTTTAAAATAATAATAATAATTTAAATTTCAATTAAATAATTATATTTGAAGTGTTATATTTCAACGGCCATTTTAAGTGTTAATAAAATAATTAAAGATTATGAATTTAGAGTTTGAAACTTGTGTAATTGTCCTGTGATTTGATTTTCTAACAAAAGTGATTTCGCAATTTCATCCTCTTGGTGTTTCAAATTTGACGAGCCGAATTTATAATATGCCATGTGGTCTATAATATAAAAGAGCTGTTAGAGCTCCAATTTTCAGTAAAAGTTGTAAAATTTGCTGAAATTTAGCATATAACACAACTGTTGGAGTTGCTCTAAGGTGAGTTATTTCTAAACTTTAAATTAAATTTTAATGGATTTATAAGGTGATTAATTTCGTAATTTATTGTAAAAAAATATACAGAGAGCATCCAAGTGTGATTTCTTTAAGTGGGTTGATCCTCAAATGTGTATGAGGTCGAAGAAAATTATTCCTGGATTATTGAAGAAAGTGAATAAGAGGGAGAAAGACTTGAAAACAAAGAGAAAAAAAAAAGCAAAGAATAAGCAAATAATCTAGCCTAAATCCATCGTTAGAGAGATAATTAAGGAACTGCGGATTCTTTGGAAGAACTATCCCAAAATTCAGTGGAGATTCGAAGATTCAATTCCATGATGTAAGGTGCGGATTCTTTGGAAGAACTATCCCAAAATCCAGTGGAGATTCGAAGATTCAGTGGAGATTCGAAGAATCAATTCCATGTTGTAAGGTACGCTTCCGTGTTTATGTTTCTGTTTAATTATCGTTGATTCAAGCATGTTGGTTTTGGGATTAGTCTGTATATACGATAAATTTCTAACAAGTGGTATCAGAGCCACCATGTTTTGGATCATCGAGAATTTTCCGTGTGTTAAATCAAATCTATGTTGACGGATTTGATTTTTTTAAGAATTACGGTCAATAATGTACATATATGAATTGGAATTCTCTTTAAGATTAGTATTCAATTCATGGATTCATATTTCTGAAAATTAGGCTTTATGCTGATCTAGAATTTAGTATTATATGAAACCTGTTTTTTTTTTTTTTTTTTTTTTTTTTTTTTTTTTTTAATTTATTTTTGAAAATTTTGGGTGGGACATTTAAATCCGAAATTAGGTGGCCCGTGAATTGGAAATCCGGTTTAATAAAATTAAGTCAATTTGGCAAAATTATCAATACTTAATGGATTAATTCCATAGGGTTTGGCATTCGTCCAGTCAAAATTCAAATCGGAGTTATTTGGGATTATGACTCTCTTTCAATTGATTGGATTTACAATTTAAGGATTTAAAATTTACGGTAAAAGTCTGAAA